TGACGAGTCGAAGTCCACTAAGGAACAGGTGGCCTTGTTCCTACTGTCGAAGAGAATAAAGCTGGACTGACTTCATGGAAGCATGCTTCCCGCTGCATAGACGAGGGAACAACAAGAGACCGATGATTATCATGAGGTTAAGTAACCGAAAACAATAAACTGCTCTGCTGAAACAGGGCGGGTGGTTAAAGGCATCAGACATCATGAACGAACACCTGACCAAGAATTACGTGGACATTCCGAGGAAGGCCTGGTTCCAGAGGAACCAGAAAAAGATCCAGTCCACATGGACAAAAAAACTGCAAAATTTTCATGAAGCTGAATGGAACACCAGCAGAGGTGAAGGTTTTGGTCATTCGGGACATTACAGAGCTGGATACATACGACTGAACACTTTGAGGAAAATTTGGAGCATAGGTGATATCACGCATGACTCACTTTCACCATGTCACAAGTTACAGGAACGGTTTCTTCATCACTTATGGACACAACACTAACATTTACAAATGTTAATGCCCTGGAACTGAAAACATTCAGCTCCACAAATTATAGAAGTCAGCACATGGAAGACAATGTAGATCCAGATAACAACTTCCTCTATGACATTGTTGATAACAGCTGCTACAACACTCCAACACTCATAAATTCTACAGGGCACTTCAAGTAGATACGTTTTCTATCATACATTTCAACAGCAGAAGTTTATATGCAAACTTTAGCAGCATCAAAGGCTGTCTGAACCAGTTTAAACAGCCATTCAGCATCATAGAGATCTCTGAAACATATATCACCCTGTACCCGCTCCCGAGAGGGAACGCATGAGCAAGCATGAGCCCATTTCTCCTAATGCACGCTCTGTTAAAAAGTTGTTGTTTGCATCGCTCATACAAGCTTACTTTCCAACAGAGTCCAAAAATAAAAGAAACCCACCCAAGGTGGGCGAGGGCAAAGACAAAGTCTCTGGAAGCCAGCCGTGAGGCCGGAGACGGGGGAGAAGGGCCTCTGGAGGGCAGCAGTGATGGAGGAGGGCCTCTGGAGGACGACCCTGAGGCCGGAGGTGACGGAGTAGGGCCTCTGGAGGACGACCCTGATGACGGCATCGCTGCAGCCTTGGAGGACGCCCTCACTGCAGCAGCAGTGAGGGGGTCTCGGAGAGGGCCGCTGACTCCGGCCGCTGAGGGGGCTTAGGAGGAGTGGAGCACTCCATTAGATATATCCTAGGGTTTAGGGGTCTCTGGGTGGCACAGGGTGTGCTCAGGGGTTCTTGGACCATTAAAGGTCTCTGGCTCAGGATCTGGCCCACTAAAGGGCTCTGGCCCGGGATCTGGCCCGCTAAAGGGCTCTGGCCTGGGATTTGGCCCACTAAAGGGCTCTGGCCTCGGATCTGGCCCTCTAAAGGGCTCTGGCCTGGGATCTGGCTCGCTAAAGGGCTCTGGCCCTCTAAAGGTCTTGGAGCTGGCTGGCAGGGACCTGATGGTGGCAGGAGAGGGAAAAGGTCTTCCCTCTCCCCATAAAGATAGTCCCACAAATGAGACTCCTTGAGATTAGGAGCTCTGACTGCAAGGGGTGTGATATTTGGACCTGGCTTGAGTTGTCTTATTCGTGACGCCAGCTATTGATGATGGAGGTGACGACTGAGACCACTGGGTAAACTGTCCTGGTTGGAAGGTGCAGTCAGGCTTGACCCGCCGGAGAGAGAGTGGAGGTGCCAGGCTGACCCGCCAGAGAGGGAGTGGCCTTCTTCCCCCGGCAGCAGAATTCATGGGCTGCGTCTTCCAAGGACCTGGTCTGCCTAGACTGGATCCTTCGAAGTCCTTGAAAATAAGAAGAACGGAAGCGTTTTGGCTGTGAATTCAAACAGGTTAGCAACCGTGTACGTTGACACACAAAGCAGGAAAGGAATGAAAACCAGTTTCTTCTTTACTTGCTCCGCTGCACTCACCCTTTTCCAAGGTGAACTGATAAAGGGTAGAATTTCCAGTGTGAAAAAGATAACAGAGGCAGGAATCCAAAAATGCAAAACAACAGGAATCCAAAAATCTAACACAAAACGCAAAGCAAACCAGAACCATGGAGACATCAGGAAAAACATGCACGAGGAGCCAGGGAAAGACGAGTAACCAGCACTGAGGAACTGCACAGGGAGAGTATTTATAGCTGACTGAACAAAGGCATAACTAACGAGCTGATTGGGAGTGGTATGAACAGAGGCCTCTAGAAAGGAGCTAGGGAAAAGGAGACCAACACAAGAGGGCAACAGAGGGCAACAAAGAAAATAACACAAATATATCCAGAAAACACAACAAAATAGGAATTAAACCAAAAAAATAGAAAAAAAAATTGAAAACATGGAGCAAAGTAAAACTGAATACTCAAAAAAAAAAACTTAACAGAACCAAGACCGAGACATAGAGGGGGTAGGAAAAATAAGTTTTACTGCTTCATACCCCTTTTCAGATAATTTACATAAATCAATGTCAGATCAGTGGCTGTATATACCGACAGGTTTATTTGGCAGAGGGTTTTGTTTCTATTGATGTTTGGGTGAAATTAGTTTGTTTTGAAATTGGAGTTGGTTTGGTTTAATGTTAACCATTCTCTTTCTCTGTGTATTTGGTTTTGCATTTGTTTGAAACATTTTTTGAAGCTTATTTATTGTTGTCTGTCAAAATTGTCTGAAATAAATTCCCTTTCATTCATATATTCAAACCAGACTTTCAGTAAACCCTGCAGCAATCGATAACTTTCAGGCTGCAGTGTTACTATGTCAACTCTTTCTAATTATGTTGTGAAGACTTCAGTATGGCCAGGACAATTTTAAATTGTGAAATAACAAAGTAATAAAGAAAGTACTGTTCATCTGAAAATAGTGATATACAACCAGCTCAATGTAAACTTTTAGACTTAGAGACTTAAAGACATAGGTCTTCATCCATGCTGAATCTTTCTGCATGGAGTTTGAATGTTCTCCATGTGTATGCATGGGTTCTCTACAGGTACTCCGGCTTCCTCCCACAGTCCAACAACATGACTGTTAGGTTAAAGGCTTCTCTAAATTCTCCTTAGGTGTGAGTGTGTCTGCGAATGGTTGTTTGTCCTGTTTGTCTCTGTGTTGTCCTGCAATGGACTGCGATCTGTCCAGGATGTAGCCTGCCTCTTTGCCCTTAGACAGCTAGAGATAGGCACCAGCAGCCCTCGCAACCCATGCTGGGATAAAGCGTGACAGAAAATGGAAGGATGGATTAACATAATACTTTTTTTAAAAGTCAAAGGAATTGCACTCCGACCCTTTCATCAGATTATAAGTTTATACAATAATGCATGTCACCAAATAATATTTTTAATATTCAACATCCAATAAACTGCCCCAATATACATTGCATTTGCAGGCTGTACCAAGTATGTTAATATATCATTTACTGATATATAAATATTATGGAAATTACCACTGGCAAAAAAAAAACTTTTTGTATGTTATCCATGGTGTTTTGCTGGTTGCTTTAATGCATAGAGGCCCAGGCCTCAACTGGGATTTTTCATAAAGACTGACAGACAGCATCATGCTGCTCCAGATCGGAGGGGTGATCATACCCATCCCAGAGTGGGCTCAACAGCTGATTAATGTGCAACATGCTCATGAAATCAGATGTATTTTAGAGCATATTTAAGGCTGTTTTATGACTACATTTATGAAGTTGGACAGTACATATTTTACCAATAATTTGTAGAAAATTTACAGGGGAGGTTTAGCCTTTAGTATTCAACAAGAAATGTCCCCTGTACTATAAATAGATGTGTAGGACTACATACATACATACATAAAAATAACAGTGTGGTATCTCAATATGAAAAGTGCCTTCAGGTGTGACAAATCATGGCAGCTCCTATACAACCATGTCTGTCACTGACAGACTGCTTAGCAGGGGCAGGGCTTCCTCCATTAAACCTGTGTCCTACACATGACACTCTCACATGCTTCTCCCATAACCTTCCAAGAAACATAGTGTGGTTTTCAGCAAACAGGGGTCATTCTGGTAACCAAAAGTTGAATCCCAAACCTTCCTTGTTATATCACACCAAGCCTGCATGTAGCGACAGTGGAGAGAAAAGCTCTCTTTGAACATTAAGAAACCTCTAGCACAACCAGTCCCAGTATGAGCGGCCTTCTGCTGAGACCAACTTGGGTTCAAGGAAACAGAAGCAGACATACAGAAAGAAGCATATACCGTATACAAAAGGTATATTTTTTTGTATACGATATTGCTGATGGCAGCAGCACAGCTGATATTTATTGCTGATATTCACGGTCTTAATGTATTTGCATGCACAATACATAATACACATCAATGATCGGGGAAGTCAACTGTGGAAATCTTGATGGAAATTTATGACAATGGCATAGATTTTGAATGGTGTGGCTATCAAGATGGCCTTGTAGGCAATATGGTCTAACTAGATATTGGTAGTAATTTGGCAGGGGCAGAGCTTTGATGGTTTTAGTTCTGTTGTGTGACAACCTCAGCATATAGCTGAGGCACTGCTACAAAAGATCCAGAGAAACTGCATTTTGTGGTCGGAGCATAACAAATACTTTAACGTGTATAAATACCGTTGCAACATTTCAAATATGTGTCATTTTAGGAAACATAAGACCAAGATTCTTAAGTTTAGTATTGGAGTTAAAGCTAGTGTTCAGAGCAGGTAACCTGACTAAGCAACTTATTTTCCAGATTCTCTGATCAATAGACAAAAACCCAATTTATTAGGCTTTATGTAGGGTAAACTACACATATGAGCTTAGGCAAATGTATTATTGTCCAACGCTGTGCAAATAATTTTAGCAAATCAAAATATATAATATGAAAGGAAAAAACAATGAAACAGAAACGAAAGTGAAAATAAAATTAAAGAGATGGCAAGAAGTCATGTGGTTTACCAGAGCAGGGAATGTTATTAAACAGAGGAGACAATTGCTGCTCACTCATTTTCCAGCAGAGCAGCAACACCAGGATGTATTTATTTAGGAAAATGTGGGGTGAGTGCATTTTACTTCAAATTACTCTTTTAGATATTTACGGCAATTGATTCACAAAGGCTGTAAAAAAAATATTTAATGCAAGCAAATTTATCTATTTAACATATCTTATTTTTTATATATTTTATTGAAATGTCTTTGTTTCAGTCTTTCAGTTTTTTAACCAGTAAATTCTGTCAAAAATGTTTTTTATTAACAGCTTATTTAATCTAAAATGACCATCTTTGACTTTTTCCGCTTAAGGTCTATCTATCACAGACCCGGAAGACTCTGGTAAGTTAGTGACTAGTAGATGTGATAATAGCAGATATGTGAACCTTTTTTATCACTAATATTGTTGACATGTCTGTTTTGGGTCGGTTTCAAAAGGTGTAAGCTAGAGTGGAACAAGATAGACTCTTGTGTGTTTGTAAATGCATAAATGTCATGAGAGTTCAGGTTGCAGACAACGTTAGAAACCTATGTTAAGGTAAAGTAAAATTCAGAAACATTGAGTTAAGTTATAGGTCTATAATTGACCAAGTAATCTGGGTCAAGAGATGGTTTCTTAAGTAAAGGTTTAATTATAGCAACCTTAAAAGCTTTTGGTACATATCCTTGTAACAGGGAGAGATTAATCACATCTAAAATGGAGAACGAGATAAAAGCAAATACTTCCTTAAATAACCTGTTTGCAACTGGTTCTAACATACAAGTTGAAGGCTTAGATAAATAAAGCATAGAGGAGAGCCGAGGTTTTGAAGGTTGTAGTTCTGTTTTGTGACAACCTATGAATACGGCTGAGGCACTTTGTACTAAAGGTGCAAATGCATTTTGTGTTCGGAGCGTAACAAACACATCTAACGTGTCTAAACACTGTTGCAACATTTCAAATATATGTAATTTTAGGAAACATAAGACCAAGGTTCTTAAGTTTGGTATTGGAGTTAAAGCTAGTGTTCAGAGCAGATAACCTGACAAAGCTTTAATCTCAGAATTCTGACTTTAATCTCAGAATTCTGACTTTTTTCCTATGTTAAACTGAAATAAAATTTATAAATCAGTTATTAAGTTCAGAATATATAATATGAAAGGAAAAAAACAATGAAAGAGAAACGAAAGTGGAAGTAAAATTAAAGAGATTATCTGAAGTCATGTGGTTTACCAGAGCAGGTAATGTTATTTAGCAGAGGAGAAAATTAATGCTTAGTCATTTTGCAGCAGAGCAACACACAAATAGACAATGGTTCACTTTTGTTTGCCTTTCAAACGGCACTTCAGGTATGTTGGTGTGAGTGCATTTTACCTCAGATTAGTCTTTTAGATATTTACTGCAATTGATTCACTAAAGCTATTAAAAATATTTAATACAAGCAAACATGTCTTATTTTTTTCATATTTTATTGAAATGTCTCTGTTTCAGTCTCAAAATTTTTTTTTTTAACCAGTAAATTCTGTGAACATTTTTTTATATATTTTTATTAACAGCTTATTCAATCTACAATTACCATCTTGGTCTTTTTCTGCTTAAGGTCAACCTACGACAGACCCAGAAGACCCTGGTAAGTTAGTGACTAGTAGATGTGTGAGGGATTTGCACAAACCAGTCAGAAAACCACTGAAAATTTTTTTTAAAAAAAGTCTTAATTTATTCCAAAAAATGTGTTCTACAAATGAAAACTGGGCCCAAAAACAGAGATAAACAAAACAGAATAAAATTCAGGCTTTAACATAAAAAACTCAAGCACAAACTGACCTAACAAACATACATGAGGGAAACTTAAATAGTGGCTGATCAAACCACTGTTGAAACACAATGGGGATAACTGAGTAACAAAAAAATAAACTTAATTAAACAGATAAATACTGGCCAGACACTAAGTAATTAACTAATTAACAAGATTACCCAAACTAAGAATATTTAAACAAATGATAAACAAATTTCCCTTCCTTTTACAAATGGTGTGACACGCTGATTAGTCTGCAACCACCAATTGAGGAAAGCTGGAGCTTATTGCAGCCCTCTACGAGCCGATCCAAAGAAAACCAGCAATTCAAAGAAGAAATTAGTCAATTGCATCTTAACAAAAAAAACAAAAACTGACAAATAAAGTTAACTAAATGTGTGCACTGCAAAAAGCTAACTTAAAGTGAGGCTAATGCAAATGTATGAAATGTGCAACTAATTTTGAAAATGAAAAATGTAAGAGTTACCACACAGCTTCAGAGAGGCTGTCACAGGATTTGATATTAGCAGATATGTGAAACTCATTTAACCCTATTATTGTTGCATGATTAGCCCGTTTGTTTTGGGTTAGTCTCAAATGGTGTAAGCTTGAGCAGTACAAGATACTCTTGTGTGTTTGTGAATGCAAAAAGGGCCATGAGAGTTCAGCTTGCAGACAAGGTTAGAAACTGATGTTAGGTAAAGTAAAACTCAGAAACATTGAGTGAGTTTAGAGAAGATAGAAAACCTAAAATAACTTTACCCTGGTATAACTTTACAGTTATACTTTTTAAACTCATGACTGACATGAGTAAAGAAATCTTATGGTACTAATTCACTTACCATTCTCTGTTTTTCCTTTAATAAAGCTCAGAAGAAAGAGTCACCAAGTAATTGATAACATTTTGTTTCTGAAAATATTTAATTAATCTTTGGAAAATAGTAGTTCATTTTTCTGTTCAGTTCTAGATGAACCATGGAGGGAACTACGCTGGAGGTGAGTTAACAGTAACACTATTACCGCTCATCATTAACTGCCAGTTCATTGCTGGCAGTTTGTTTACAACCCTAGTGAAATGTAGAATTTGTGCATCTCAGTTTACTGCAGGAGAAAAATATAGAAAAAATAAAAACCTCAGAGTAAGTGATTGAGGTTCTGTTGGGTACTTGGCAGAAATTTGGCCCTAAAGACATTATGACACAGGAGGAAATGGAGGAAAGAAGCGGTGGGAGAAGGGAAATGTAGGGAGGTGATGAAATGCCTGATTATTTCTATCATCATCATAGTGGATCCTCATTAACTGCAGAGACATCACACAAAAAGTTTAATAGGGGATTTGAAGAATTTGCATCATTTTGTAAGTTCTTAAACACAAAATTATAAATAAATGAAATGACCAAAAAAAAAAAATGAAACTACAAGCTTGACTTTAAAGTTTTAGTGAAAATATAGAAAATATATTTGATCTAAATTAGATTATTTTAGTTTTACTGATGGTCTTTGGTTCCAATCAGGGTTTGGTAGAATGTGTTTTGTTGTCTCTTTTGGGTTTTCACAGAACTAACAAATGAATGTGCTTGATGTTCTCAGTGAAAAACACCAGGATCTTCAATATGTTCAAGAATACAAACCTGTAAAAGATGAAATCAGGTACCTCCGAGTGCTTCTTTATGGACCCGTTGGTGCTGGGAAGTCCAGTTTCATCAACTCTGTCAGTAACGTCATTCGAGGTCGAATGACAATTCCTGCTTTGGCCAGTGCAACCACATCTGACAAAAGTTTCACCAAAAAGGTAAACAAAAAGCTAATATGCTTTGCTTCATCTTGTAGAACCGTGACAATGCAGTGCAATAGGAATGAAAATGTTTGAGCAGTGTATAAAAGAACCAGAAATATAAAGATGGGATCCTTTCAGTAGTCTTTTGCACACTACTCTGCATGATCTTGGCTCTGATGACTGGCTTGATTTTTCATTTGAGTCACCTGCCTAGCGAAACCAGTTGCAATTTACCTCGTCCTCAGGGCATGCACTGAACTGAACTTTAAGATCAGATTAGTGACTCACACGTTCATAATCTTGCTCCACCAGTTTGACTTGGTCACTAACCTTTGTTTCTTTCCTACAGAGGTTCCTTCCTTAGACACCCTAGCTGCTAACTACAGATCCGTATTTTTATTAAATAAAAGGTTTTTGAAATATCATACTGCCTGTCCTTCTGAATACTGGATTCCCTGTTCTGAGACTTAACAGAATAATCTGGCAAAATATATATCCATCTGCCGACAGACAGGGGCGTTCAGACATGGAAGAATGTATAACTCAGCTTGAATCAGTGTCGTGGGAAAAAAGTATTCAACTATTCATCCTAGTTAAATAAACGGAGATCGATGGATTTCACTCAGTCGGCACATTTATTAATCATCTTTGCAAAGAGAGAACAGTCATCATGGCACAGCATTCTGCTCTGTTCTGATCTGGGCAGGGTTCGTTCCCCCCTAGTTACAACAATGGAAAGCAGTCAGAGTCATAACAAATTACACACACTTTGCTTAACAGTAACATGTTATGAATAAACCTTGAGAAAGAATCTGGATTGTTATGGGAAGAAGCTATGTCTGGTCTACAAACAACATTCTGCAGGGAATGGTGTGGCCTTGAGAGAGAAACAGACTGAGTGAAAACTTTTATAGTGAGTAAATATGAATATTAATATATAATGAGAGAAAGATATAAATTTTCCCACAACAGTCCACCCTTTCGATTATAAAAGGATATTATCCTTGTGTAATCGATATCATAAAAAAAGGAAAATTTATGAATATAAAAAACTAAGAAACTAAAATTATGAATATATGTAAAGAAAGCTAAAATCTAAGACATTAAAAATATAAGAAAAAATAATAAAAATAATGATAATTAAAAAATAATGAATCAAAAATCCACAACTGCATTAAGTCGGTGGACAATGTTAAATGATTATAATAGATGGAAAAATTATGGAAAAGATAATGATAGCTAAAATATGTTGCCAATAAATAGAGCCCTGGAATCACACCTTAGTTGGCAAAAATATTTACTGTTTTTTCCCCATTATGATACTTTTATGGTAAAATATCTATTTGCTGAAAATTTAAAATTTTTAGTTCTTATCATTATCAGTTACCCTTTTTGTTTCCCTGGAAAGAGAAAAGTTCAAATCAGTCAAAACAATAGACCCCTTCATGTCTATAAACTGTAAGTCAAATTATTAATCTGAATTTAATTAAAAGTAAAAAAAGATCAATCTCTATGCAAAATGTTAAAATCATAACACAAAGTTGTTTCACGCAGATGACGAGTTCAGCTCTTCAGAATCAGGCTCAGTCAAAGCACACATTGAAAAGTTGGAGGATTTAATCTCAGCGCTCCTTTTTCCCAATGGTGGCTGAGATGACCCGATCATCAGAGTTCATTCTCTAATCCAGAAATCTCTGCCAATACTGACCATCAGCCATCAGGTGGTCATCTAACACTTGGACTTTCTTTTTATTATCAAGAAAAGTAATATCAAACACTTAGATACTAAAAATGTTAATCTTTGATTAAAATACAACACATCACAACACATTTCCCTTCTCATTCATGTTGTATGATTAAAAATCAAAAAGCCAAAGCTGATGTCAGACATCTTCAGGTGGGCGTCTTCATCTTTCTGTTGATGTTGGTCCCTTATACAGGCGACATTTTGAACGTTGTCTACAGAACAGCTGGTCCTCAACACATCAGGTGGACTACTGATGTGTTAATTAACCAATCAGAGGGGATTATTCTGCCCCTTTATTCTGATTTCTTTTGTTGAAGCTTTTCCTGGTTCCTTCCAGATGAGCTCCGATGAGCTCTGATCACTTTCTTTTGATGACTTTGAGCCACACCTCCTCCTGCTGAAGGATGGAAGGATGGCTGTGATGGTCCTGCATTAGGGTCTCCAGGCACCTTGGTCCCTCTGTAAAGCCTTCTCTGACTAAGGGGAAAAAAGGTCTTGTAGGTCATTTTAATGTGTCACCTGTCAGTCCCAGTCTGGCCAGAGGTCAGTGGTCTGGCCCGTTCTGTGGTCCAGGAACGGGTCGACCCGTCATGAGCTCATGGGGAGGAAAACTGGGAGTCAAAGTTACCAACATGCTGAATTAAAGGAGCTGAGGGAAGGAAAGATCAGATGTTATCTTACCCTTTCACAAACAATAGTAGATCAAAATAAGTTCATGTAGCTTAAAGAACTTTAGATTAAAATTTGAATTTTAAACTTTGTCACAAATCATTGAATTATTCCATCATTTCAAACTTACCCAGTAAATGTACTTCCTTAGTGTTCGGTACCCTTATCACTTCTGCACCTGCAGAAATCCAAACAAACTTCTCCTCAGCAGAGGACTGTGTGTGTCAGTGGGCTGCAGCAATGTAAACAAGCACAGCCTTCTCTGTTGCTTCCACCAGACATGATGTGTGTGGAAGAAGAATATAGGCTTTCCATCCGATTTCAAGAACGATGTTTCCAAGGCGAAGCAAAATCAAAGAACCACCAAACCAGGGGTGCAAGAAGCTGACCCATCAACAAACATCAACAAAGCTGGTTTTTCCCAAACGCACATCAGACAGTCAGGCTGAGGTGTTCAAACTTCATCCAGAAGTCTAGCAGTCGTTTCTTTAGGTTGTTTATTTATTCTGCTCTCAATTATCAACCCAAATTCCACATGGACTGTTCCAGATGGAAAAATAAACTGTTTTTCTCTTGTTTTATCTTCTTTCCACCCTTTTCTTCATCAGAACAAATAAAATATGTTCTGTTGAAGAAAACCCATAAATTTTCAGTCAATTTTAACCTCCAGATATATCTGAGCTATGGATTCATTGAGAATAGATCATTTTAAAGTCTCCACCATTCATCTTAATGTAGGAATTAAATCCTGTTATTTATATCCTCTATCATTATAATCGTTATTATTAATGTTATCGTTATTATTATTATTAAATAATGTTATTATCATCATTATTTCCAATTGAGTCATTTGAACACCGTATAGTTATTAACCAATAATTATGTTAAATCAATTTGCATATTTATTCCAGATCAGCTTAAGATAGATTTACTTCTTAAAGAATTGTAAATAATGTAAAAGCAAATTCAATCAGCCTAATTTATTTTTATACAAGCTATTTGTGCTACACACATATAGATTTATTTACCCTTAAAGTTTAATCTAAATCTTAAAGAATTAAGGTTAACAAATTAAACTTTAGCATTTAGCTTTTAAATAATGACACAGGTCCTTGATTATTTGAAGAAATGCCCAATTATTGTTAAACAAGCATAATCTGTTCATTTGATTTAATTTTTAAAATCTGTCTCATTAAACTTTATTTGTTGTGATATTTGAACCTTATGTCAATCCCCTTTATTACCAATTTAAACAGCTGTGCATTATCTTTAACACATTTAACTCCTGCTTTGTTTTGAAAACAGGTTAGGGGGAAGAATGAGCCACAGAAACTAGAAACTGTCCTTATTTTACAGTTTAACCTTAATTATTCCCTCATTTCTATTTTACCGAGACAAAAAAATAGCTAAACTATCATTTCACAAATGGACAACATACAATAAGTAGAGTGGATCCACAGACACTACAGACAACATATAAGACAAACAGATAAGACAAACAAAACACAAACAAATGGCCATAACATAAATGATTAAACGTAATTGTTGCATGCAAACCTTCATGTGTGTCAGGCCCTGGGGGGGGCCCTTAGCCTGCCCATCTTTACCGAACCTCCTGTAACTGGGTCAACGGTAAAATGGACGCTTTTCAGTCTATTTATACGCAGGTACTTTAACTCTAAACAGCGAATCAGTTACTATTCTGCTGTAAGCCAACCATTTATAACTTTATGTCAGGTGCTATTTCAGTCCGAATTCTGAAAGTTAGGATGTTTTTTCATTTTTTATCATCCTAGATTTAAATCCATTAAGCAGGTTTTAGGTTTTATTTATTTTTAAACATACTTGTTTTAAATGTGCCAAAAATGATTATAAATTTTTCACTCTCTCAGGAAAATATGCCACTTTGATTCAAATCTTTCAGGAATTAATTATTTATTTTTGAAAATCTATAATTTTAGTTAATAAACTCATAGCTTTTATATATTTTGGTTGCATTTTCCCAAACTATATCCCATATATTTGGTAAAACTGTAAGGTTTATTTATTTTAAACACTTAAGGGATGAAAATTGCTGATTTCATTGTTTATATGTTTTAAATGATATACATGTGTATTCATATGGAGGAAAGGGAAATCAATTTCTCTTAGTTTTTCATTTAGTGAAATCTAATTCAGATTAAACTGACACATAACTTTAGATTTTATCCTATTGGATTATATTATTCATTCTTTTTCATCTATAAGTTGCTGTTTTGTTTACATTTTCATAAGTCAGAGCAACCATCAGCTTTTCTCTGTCTTAGTCAGAACCTCAGACATTCATGGCACAGGGACAAAGCAACATACCACAAAATCATGAAGAGATGAAGCTAATCTCTCCGAGTGGCTGCTGTGGAAATAGAGAATTTGGTTTGTGACTAAAACCTGTGCGCATTTCACAACTACTGTGTCAGACCATGTTTGGACCCTTTTCTCTCTCTGGATTTGCCTAAGTTTTCATCTCCAGGTCCGTCCATAACATTATGGAACATGGTGACAGCAGGAAATGAACAAAACGAGACCCGTCCTGTTTTTAAACAACCACAGGCCTGATAATAAACGTTTTGTTTTCCAGTCCTGAAGCCGACATAGGAAAAGACAGTTGCTGCTGAGTTTCTCTCTTTTAAAAAGATAATTTTTGGTTTAGATACTTAAGGTTGGTTCTAATTTGATCAGAAATTACACTAAAAGAATCATGGTTTAGTGAAAGCCAACCAGGCCGTACATTATCACCCTCATTAGACATTTCCCATGTCAAGAAAGTCAGTCTGTCAGCAAGCATTTTCTTCATTGCAAGATGCAGAAAGGAATCTAATAAGAGAAAGTTATCAAACTTTTCTTGAATAGTTGGAAGTCTATGGAAATGGAAAATGAAATAAAATAAAAGGAAAGAAAAGAAAATATATAATCGATCACTTTACCCTTTACTGATTTCTGCCAACAGGCGGTTTCAGTCCTGGAGCTCCACCACCTCAGTCAAAAAGGTCAGCCACTTCTCAAACAAAAAAAATTATTCACTAATTAAAAAATAATTTAGCACCGGAGAGAAGGAAAGCCTTATGTTGGTGCACCTCCTCCTTGTTTCCCCACAAAAAAAAATTCCCCAGTGTCTCTGTCCTCATGGTTTTTTGCACACACACACATTGTGAAGCAGGTTGCAGCTCAGGTGAGCTATTAGGGTCAGGGGTTCCCTTTCCCCAGATTTTAACCCATCATTTCCATCCGGTTGCTGTGTCGGTGTGTGTGCCTTGGGGGGTGGGGGGAGATTGATGCTTGAATCAGGCTGTCTTTCTCCGGCGGGCTGATGGGAGGGGGGGCATCTCCTCCAGGTCTGAATTCTGAGCGGCTCCGATCAGGGAGCCCATGTTTGAAGGGCAGGGAGTAAAAAAAAACAATGATTAGTTTAAGGAGTTTCAATATTTCAAATGAATAATAATAATAATAAAAAAAATAAAATAAAGTTGTTCATCTTTACCATAAAAAAGAAGAAGCCTTTTCAGGAAAGGAATGTCGTCTCGTCAGTCACCCCACTTCATCCTTCAGTCACTTTAAGTCACGTTTCCCCTCTCGTCACAAACTTTTCTCATCTAATTTTCTCAAATTTGCTTTTATCATCAACCTTACTTTTCTCTATTTAATTTTGTATGTTTTCTTTATTTAATTTTAGGTTAATTCCTCCATTTTATTCTATTTTAAGTTTTTTCAGTTTTTAAACTTTTAATTTGACCTTATTTTATGCCCTACTTACTTTTTTCTGTAATAATTTAATAGTTTTTTATTTTTAGCTATGAGTTATTAACTTCCTGTAAAAATTGAGAGAGTTTTGTTTCTTTAAAAGCACCATTGAAATTAAAATTCATTATTATAACTTAGTATAGTGTAAGTTTAATATGTAATACAGTGTAAATATGTTTAGTATCAGGTTTAAACACTGTCTTTTTGACTTCTTATTTTAACCCATTTCTTTTTGAAGCTGAGAGTTTCTTTGAACTCTCCTTTTAACCATCCATCATTTTAAACAGTTTTCTTCTCTTTTTTCTTTTTCCATTGTTTTTGTCTTTTTTTTTCTTTCCCAAAATCTGTAAATTTCTTACCTTACCTTCTTTTTAGCCTCTAACTTCTCATGATATTCGTTTATCTTATCTTCAACATTTTTGTCTATTGCAACATTAAACCAAAAATTTCTCCTTGGGCAGTTGACAATTCCCCGGAACCTTGCCTTTTGTTCTACTACCATACTGTAGAACTGCAAAACCTTTCCCATTATCTACAGGTAATTTACCGGTTTCCAATATGCACACCATTCCTCTGGTGCCGACCTGGATAACTGGGGGGGATCCCACTCTAGATTACCGACGTCTCAGTAAAATTAAATGCCTTCTGGTGGCACTTACAACCTTCCTCTCACCCTTAGAGAGAGCCTCACGTTCCTATGCGAGGTCTTTTGGTTCACAGGTGGAACAAAAACCTGAATTGCCTTTCGTGCTCCCCAAAAAGGAAAATTATCTGTTATTTCATATGTATAATCTTTAGTATTATACAAATTTTAGTGCATTAAAATGATTAACCTATTAATTAGTTTCTTGCTAGATTATAATTTTAATGGAGAAGAAGAGGACTTTGTTTGAACAAATTTTCCAGTATTTGATTTCTAATTATCTTTAAATCTGTAAACAATCTGTTGTTTTGTGATTTAGTTTTTGAAATTTAATTTAAACTGTGCCGACAAAAGATCATCTCACCGTCTCAAAAAAATGGTTCGTTTTGATCCTCCTGCTGACCTCCAGGGACCTCGATGCCAGAAGTCCTCACTCCCTTAACCTTCTAACGGGGTATTGAGGCTGGAAGACTGCTTCCTCCAGGTGGTACCTGACACTTCTGACAATCGCTGTCCTCAGAAAAAATCAGTCAAAGAGAATCCTGCCGACAACGCCAAATTGTCGTGGGAAAAAAGTATTCAACTATTCATCCTAGTTAAATAAACGGAGATCGATGGATTTCACTCAGTCGGCACATTTATTAATCATCTTTGCAAAGAGAGAACAGTCGTCATGGCACAGCATGCTGCTCTGTTCTGATCTGGGCAGGGTTCGTCCCCCCCTAGTTACAACAATGGAAAGCAGTCAGAGTCATAACAAATTACACACACTTGGGTTAACAGTAACATGTTATGAATAAACCTTGAGAAAGAATCTGGATTGTTATGGGAAGAAGCTATGTCTGGTCTACAAACAACATTCTGCAGGGAATGGTGTGGCCTTGAGAGAGAAACAGACTGAGTGAAAACTTTTATAGTGAGTAAATATGAATATTAATATATAGATGAGAGAAAGATATAAATTTTCCCACAGCATGCAGGAAATCCAGACACATTTGAGTAATCAGGCTACTTCTGCTCCGATGTGTCTGCCTTCGACGGCTTCTGCTTCTATGTCACCTGCCATCAGACCTGTTGTTCAGGAGCCATGTCTGTCACCCCCTGAACTTTGTAGTGGCAATCATGCACAGTGTCTGGCTTTTCTCACTCAATGCAAAAGTCATTTTAAACTTCAGCCTTCAGCGTACCTTTCAGATAGGTCCGAGGTAGCCTATATTGTCTCAATTCTAGCCAGCAAATCAAGCTGTGGGGAACTTTTGAATGTCAGCACACCCCTAGTTTATGGAGCTCTTATAGCGCCTTCTCGCAAGAACAAATATGAGTTTTCTGCCCAGTTCTTCCCATACAAAGGGTCTCAGACTTCCATTAATCAATTATAGAAATGACTGTATCAGCAAAATGCATTTTCTGTTAATTAGCTTTTTCTCCTGTTTTTAGTATGAAACTCATAAATTCATTAAAGGACGAGGAAGCTCAAAGACATTTTACCCTTTGGTCTTCAACGACATCATGGGTCTGGAAGATGGGGAAATACAAGGAATTCATGCTAGTGACATCAACCTGGCTTTGGAAGGACATGTGAAGGAAGACCACAAGGTGCAGCAAATACAACCACCAATTCTGAAAAATATTCTGAAATAATAAAATAATGAATGTAGCCCACAATGTAAAGATGAGGATTGTATTTTTTTGAACAAATTCATGTTAAAGATTATGTCTTTTCTAGTTCAACCCAGTAGGTCCTCTATCTGAAGATGACCCAGGCTACAACCCGACACCCTCTGCTGATGACAGAGTTCATGTCTTGGTCTGCGTGATGTCTGCCAACGCTCCAGAGATTAAATCATCAGTTTTACAGAAAATGAAGAGTGTCAGAGAAACAGCCAGTGATCTGGGTGAGTTTAAAAAGAAGGATTTTTATTTACATGACATACTAACAGAAGAAATCCAAAACAAGTTAAACTGTCAGTGTCCATCCATGCATATTTTCTGATTATTGTGTCAGGTTCACTGTGGGGCCGGTGCCTATTTCTGGCAATTTATGGGCGAAATGCAGGGTACACCTGGACAGGTCACTAGTCCATTGCTGGGCAACACAGACACAGAGTCATATAACCATGCACACACATACACCTAAGGACAATTTGGAGAAGCCAATTAACCTCAGAGTAATTTTTCTGGATAGCGGGAGTACGCTGGAGTACCAAGAAAGAACCAACGCAGGGAGAGAGAGAACATGCTAACTAACTGCCAGTGTCTCTGGCACAAATCTGTAGAAATCTATATCTGCATTTACTGTCGCTCACTCTAACTTTTCAAATGATAAAACCACAAGCAGTGTTTACTTGAATTAGTTTCTTTACCTGCAGGAATTCCTCAAATGGCCTTAATGACACACATTGATGATGCCTGCGAAAAAACTGAAAAAAACTTGAGAAATGTGTACAAGAGCAAGCACCTAAAGAAAAAGGTGAGATTCAGTAACTTTGTCCAGAGATATCATACATATTTTAGATTGTAACTGTGATTTTTTTTTATTTTTAAGATGAAAGATTTCAGTGCAGCAGTGGGAATCCCAATGAACTGCGTCTTTCCTGTGAAGAACTACAGTGCCGAAATCAACCTGAACGATGATATTGATACTTTGATTCTGAGTGCCCTGAGGAAAATGATCGACTTTGGAGCTGACTTCATTGAAAAGATTTAAAATGGGCTTCAGAAGACACATTGTGTCTGCTTTACTTTACCAACGGTTAAGAAAATGTTTTTTTTTCATAATGTAGTGTCTGATTTGGGATACTTAGTAATAAGAACCTTAAACTTTCTACTATTGATTTATTGAAATTTTCTCCTGTGACGGTCATTTAGTCATTTATTTGGGAAGGTATTGCTGTTTCATGAAGTTTCTTTGTCACGGCTGACTGACTCAGTCTGACCGTGTGGACCGTTGTGGATTGCATTCTCTTTGCCACCCCTTCTCCCCTAGATAAAAAAATAGGAAATAAGGTATGTTACATGCTATGGGCTAAGGTTGGGGTTAGGGATTAGGATACTTTGCTGCAAGACACCATGGAAGCCGCTAGGTGGTGTGGCACTAAAACATTAAAGGGGAAGCTTTCCCTTCCTCAAGTTCTCTGATTGGAAATGGAAGATTGCATGGGGAGTGGAAATACTCAACCTGTCCGATCAGCTGGATCAAGAAGAGAAGGAAGAGCTGAGGGAACCATTGCTGCTCCTTTTTACCTTACATAAGGATTATGAGGGATTTTGTGAAGAAATTATGGATATTAAGCAAATGCAGATTTATTCTGTCTTAGAACTTGAACCTCTACAAATATACTGTCATGGTCTGTCTTTTGTTCCCTCTTGTGCTCCTGTTTTATTTTGAAGTTCAGGGTCTTGTATTTGTGTGTCCCCTGCCTTTGTTGTAACCTTTTCTGTGTGGCTGGTTTTCCTGTGTTACTTCTGATGTCTCTGGATTTAGTTTGCCGGTAAAAATAAAAATTATTGTTTAGTGTTAGTATTTGGGTACTTTTCTCCACAATTCCTGACACATACACGGTTCATGAGATATACAGAATTTTTCTGGTACGACAGCATACAGAAGGTTTATACAGATAGATGTATGACATTGTGTCTGTTGTGGGGAAAGCATGTCACTATTTAGGAATAAAAACTATTTAATGTGGGTACCCCTGAAATTATTACATTGATAATCATTTTGGTCTACAAAAAATACAAGAAAATGTCAATTTTGTGTCATCAACACTTTAGATAATAACTAAATATCACAGTTAAGAGATGCCTAAAATAATAATATGCCTTCTCCCTATAGTTAAGTGTGTCCTCACTGTTGTGCCATGTACATAAATCTATTTTAGTAAAGATTTTTTTATTTATTTATACAATTCTCACACAGTAATGTCCTTGTACAACATAGGAAGTCTTTACAATTCTTAATACTCTTAATAAGGATTTGCATCAGGTCCCTCTGAGTAGGGGACTTGAACTCACTCAATCATACAACCAAATGACATCACTGTAGACAACTTTTTGTTCTGTTGTTATTTACTGCAGTTTTCTGCAATGTCTTTATTGTTTTGTGTTTATTTTAAGAAGCACCATCCTGCCATGAGCAAGTGACCTATGGTAAACTTATACTGAAGTAGCACCAGATCTTTTCACTTTCAGTCTGCAGGGTTACTATACAAATGTGTGTGTGGTCATGTATTTGTTACCTGGTGGGAACAATTTCCCAGAAATATGCTAAATTCTTTGGGACTTGTGGGGAACAACAACTAGTCCCATGAGGAAAGTATCTTTTCTTGGGGTGGGGGTTGGGTATAGACTAAGCCGTGACTTGTGCCATAATTTTCTTCAACTGAAGAAAAACAAAACTGAAGTTATAATCTTTGGACCAATAGAGGAGAGATCTAAAGTTAGCACACAGCTTCAGTCGCTTCAGCTAGTAACCACTGATCAGGCCCGAAATCTAGGTGTAGTACTGGATTCAGACTTGAACCTCCAAAAGCATTTAAAGACAATTACAAGGTCAGCTTTCTATCACCTGAAGAACATTTCCAGGATTAAAGGACTAATGTCTCAGCATGATCTGGAAAAGCTAATCCATGCGTTTATTTTTAGTCGAATTGATTACTGCAACTGTGTTTTCACAGGTCTGCCTAAAAAGTGGATCAGACAGCTGCAGCTGATCCAGAACGCTGCTGCCGGTGTCCTCACTAAGACTAAGCACATCACCCCAGTTCTAAAGTCCTTACACTGGCTCCCTGTATCTCAGAGAATAGACTTTAAAATACTTCTGTTAGTCTATAAATCCCTGAATGGCTTAGCACCGAAATACATCACAGACTTGCTATCAGTGTATCAACCCTCCAGACCACTCAGGTCTTCTTGCTCCAGCCTGCTCTGCATACATAGAACCAGAACTAAACATGGAGAAGCAGCATTTACTTCCTATGCTCCACTTATCTGGAACAAACTTCCAGAAAACTGTAAAAGTGTGGAAAGCCTGAGTTCCTTTAAATCAAGACTAAAAACACATTTGTTTAGGATTGCCTTCGAGTGTTCTAGTTAAACAGTTAAACTAAAACATAAATACTTTAGTCCAACTGTTTTTATTTCTTTTTTGTTTCTGCATTTTTTTATTTTATTTTACTTATTTTATTTTATTTTTTTATTTTTCCTACTTGCTTTGATTCTGTTTTATCTTCCTGTATTTTAATCATGTAAAGCACTTTGCATTGTCTTTGTACTGAATTGTGCTATACAAATAAATTTGACTTGCCTTGCCTTGAGTTCGGGTTGGGAATTTAGGAATAGTTACGGAAAGGTTCAAGGTTACAGTAGGCCAAAGAAATGTTTGCAGCATGAATGTAAGTCAATCGGAAGTCCCCACAAAGATAGTTTTACACAACAGGTGTGTGCCATGTATTTAATATATTATGGGCCCCATTTTCTGGAGAAATATCATGTTGTGGGAACTGACTGCTTCTTGTGAGGCCCGATGCCACAACCCAATAAGGGAAATTCTGTTTAAGGATCAGGGGTCATTTTTAGGATGAAAATGTGTAGTGAGTTTAGGTTGGGGTTAGGGTTAGTTAAGACCCCATAATGGTTAGTATCACACCTCAGGCATGGAGGGACACGGGGATGGAGCAGAACTTTTACTGATCAAGTTTATTAGGCAGCCTTTCTCTTGGTCGTACAGGCTTGGGTCAGGTTTAGGAGGTCAATCCAGCTAAGCCTCCACTGTTACTAAAGCCCCATTTACACTACCCTTGAAAAACCGATCCAGGCCGAGACCGGTCCGAGCTTGGATCGGTAACCAGGCCAAGCTCAGTTTTGACGACCGTTCACACGTCAAACTTATCTCGGTTATCTCGACTCCTTGACTCCTCGCCTCCTAGTGACGATGTGCGGTATTACTGCTAGGATTGAAGGAGGGACTCAAGCAGCTGGTGGCGGTAATGCACCAAACGCTGTTTGTCAACCGCCGTAAAACCCAAGAAGAAGAAGACGAAGGAGGAGGGAATCAAGCAAATCAAAATGGCGGCGCCCGTCACATTCAGAAAGTTATGCTTGATTATTATTGCTGTACTTTGGTGTTTGCGGTGGGTCAGGCGAAGACGGCAACCTTGCGCGGATGTACTTGAGAAAGTCGGCTTTTGGGAAGCCGACTTTCTCGAATGGAGTGTGAATCGGCATGTTCAGCCAGTCGGCGATGACGCGTTCTGCTCATGCGCTCTTGTTATCAGAGAACCGAGCCAGGAAAAAACCGAGCCGAACCCACCTCGGGAACTGGTCTGCAGTTAGCGCGGTCCGGTTATGTCTATCTCGGTTCAGTTCAGGTTGTTTCCGTTCACACACGACAAGTTATCTCAGTTACTGAGCTCGGACCGGTCTCGGCTCAGTTTTTTAAGGGTAGTGTAAACGGGGTATATGTTCTTCACTGCAGTACTCCTTGGACAGCTTCAACAACAGTATGCCTTTATATAGACAAGCCCTTGTATTGCTTGGAAACATGCAAATTGAAACCGACGAGTGGGTCGTTTGGTTCCATTGTTATCTGAAACCTGTCTATGATTCTGTTCGAAATCCTGGGCTGCATCCTCCAAGGACGCGGTCTACCTAGATTGGATCCTTCAAAGTCCGTGAAAATAAGGAGACCAGAAGTGTTTTGGCTGTAAATTCGAACAGGTCTACCCTCGGCGGGTTTTACCGCCGTATGCTCTGTTGCTTAGCAACTGTGAATATTAACACACAAAGCAGGAAAAAAATGAAAACCGAAGTTTTCAAAACTGTTTATTTGTTTTTTTTTTATTATAAAGTGAACAAAGACTACACTCACAAGAATCCAGAGTGGAAAAAAGGTTCCAACCACTGGGACCAGGAACAAATACAATCACATGTAATCATAGAAATCTTAGTCAGTTAAATAACATGCTGCTGTCATTGTGCACAGCTCTCATGTTGCTGCTATTTTCAAATATCCATTACTGTAAAAATGTCCATAGCTTCATATTGGTTATTTATTCTCAAGTTTTATATAGTTAAAACACTTTACAGAATTGTATTGTTTTTATTTTAACTCTTCCCTATTATGTTATTCTTATACATTTTTCTAAGGTCCACATTTGTGTGACCATTTTCAATAATCGTTCTTCTGCTGTAAATTTGCCCATTGTAGGACAATAAAGGGATTTTCTATCCTATAAAAGGGGTAGAAATATATAAGTAAATTTAAACAAAATATTGATTAAAAAATATATCTACAAAATCTCTAATATTCAACAACAAAAAATACTTAGTTAAGCATATTGTTCAAAACAGCAATAAAAAATGTAACTCCAATGAGATCTATAGTCCCCACACTGCAGATATATAAGAATCTGTGCTTAAATTACAGCCAAACCCATTTACACAGTAACAGATAAAAACCTTTACATAAACCAAACATTACTGCCACATATCTGACTCAATGACCATTAAAACAACTATTTTCATTCATTTCAGACAGAACTATTCACAAACTTGTATTATATTAAACTGAACTTCCAATATTCACCACTGTTCGGCACCAAGTAACCTTTCCTCTGATCACGGAGCAGCCGGCTTGCTTGGTCTCGCAATGAATCCTGGGAAAACCAAGGATAACGAGGATACATCGGCCCCGTCCTTCAAATTGGGCAAAAAGAAGGACGCATTTTAAGGCCGCATAATGAGGAGTCTTGGAATCCGACCAGACCTCGGCGCCACGCTATGACGTAATCGTCCTTCGAATCTGGCCTTCTAAGGAGTTCGAACAGAGCATATGATTGTCAAGGGTCGGTCGTTAAAGGAGGTTTTGTTCACCTGGCTGAGGATAGGAGGTACTTTGTTCCTCTGTGATGGGGTGGTGGGTGTGGTGATATCTGGAAGGGATAATCTCTATAACGGAATTGTAAGTTTTTGGAAGCTGGAATCTGAGTCCACCACCTCTGTTTAAATTTGCTTTTTCTCTCTTAACATAGATGGCTTCCTTCACGCCCCTCTCAAACCACCTATTTTCTTTATCCAGAATGAGAACATTCTGGTCCTCAAAAGTATGGGCGTTTCTCAATTCAGAGAACGCGAGTACGTACTCGCGTTCTCGTCAAGTCCGTTCTTGGCGAGAACGCAGGAAGATCGGACTTGACGAGAACGCGAGCACGCAAGCACATATGTGTATTGGAGCAGAAGCGTACTCGTGACGTCATCACAGGCAACGTTGTTTAGCATTTCTTTAACAGTCAAAACTATTTATTCCCTGCACAAAACATTTTGAAAACAATATTTTTAATTTCTAAAGCTTAAAAAACATTTTAAAAAATTACCGAACCGCAAAAAACCGCCATCAGAATGAGCGGTAGTTCACACATAACTAGACCGAGAGAAGTGCACTACAGACGGGGTAAATTTAGCCCTGGCTGCGGTTACCCTCGGAGGTCTGATGGTCACTCTGGTCCGCTCAACGTCGGACTTTTTTTTTTTTATTTCGCACTAACTCTGTAAACAGACCACACAGGGATGCTTAAATGTATAATGTTATCGCCTCAAACGATTTCAAAACGTACTTTTGAAGAACAACAGCAGCAGAAAAGGGAATGTTTAACTTAACACTGTGAGCGCTGTCTCGAATCAAGCTGCGGCCGCGGGGCATTCTGGGGAAGCGGTCAGTCTGAAGAACGCACAAGTCTTCTCTGATGCATGCTCGATAAAGAGGGCGGGGTGAGAACAACATCCGGGGATTTGATGCGTTCTCGATCTGGCGTTCTTGAGAATTGGAACAGTACTCGGGCTGAGGCTGATGATGTGTCACGAGTACAGGAGCCCTCAAGAACACATATTGAGAAACGGCCAATGTCCTTTGTCCACAAGGTGTAGATGTACGGCACAGTCTTGTCCAGAGGAGGCTGCTCTTCTGTGTTGGGCCATGCGTCTGTGGAGAGGTTGTTTGGTTTCTCCAATATAAAGATCAGAGCATTCCTCGCTGCATTGAACAGCATATACCACTCTGCTCATATTTGGTCTGGGGTTTTTATCTTTAGGATGCACTAGCCTCTGTTTAAGGGCTTTGTTTGGAAAAAAATTCTCTTGAGTTTTTCAGAGACTCCAACAACATAAGGGATTGTGATGTTTTTGCTTTTAATTTTGTCACCGCTATCATCAGCTGCATGTCTTTTGGATCCAAAAACTTACAATTCAGTTGTAGAGATGATCCTTTCCGGGTATCACCACAACCCCCAACCCATCACAGAGGAACAAAGTACCTCCTCGCTTCAGCCGGTGAACAATACCTCCTTTACGATCGACCCTTAACAATCATAGACAGGTTTCAGGTATTACAGGAGACAATCCCCCCCTTTAACGACCGACCTTCAGAATCATGGACAGGTTTCAGATATTACAGGTTAACAATGGAACCAAACTACCCACTCGTCGGTTTAATTTGCATGTTTCCAAGCAATACAAGGCCTTGTCTATATAAAGACTCAAACTCACTGCAGATCCAGACATTTGAACTGAGAAAGCTTCCTAGAGGGGAAGCAAAACATCTTCAAACCTTGGAAATCAAGTCCAGTGGATTGTTTTTTAAACTTTTACGGAATGACTATGACCTGGATGACTGAGAATCTTCATCAGCGTACCAGATAAACCCAACATCTTGAAAAAAATATATTTTGCATGATATGCATTCAAATATTATGGCATATTTAATTATCTTATTAACCATTAGATAAGTAGTGTATGTAGTGTGTGGAATCAAGGTTTTTCCTCGGCCTATTTTGTGTGATAAAATGTTTGTTTGAATAGAAGTAATGATAGAGAAATCCTGTACCATTCACTATGCTGTACTGTTTAGGGGGACCGAAAGCAGGTGCCTCCCCTCCCTACTCTAGATAAGGGTGAGGGGAAGGTCATTAAAAATAATGAGTTCACAAAGCCTCCTTCATGCTATGGTTAAAATGTACGCCCTTATCGTTCTCCAGTCCTGTTTCTGGTGTGAATGGAATACAGTTGTCTGAAATGTTTAACTGAGCAAATTTATGTCCTTTGATGTGTTTGAAGTGTTTCTCTTGGGAAGATTCAATTTTCATGTGTTTGTATGGTGTGGATTCTTTTTAAATGTAGGGGTGTGTTTCTGAATGCTTCAGTATCATACTCAGCTGTATTCAGCTGGTTTGTGCCATTCTCCTCTGCAGAGTAAAATAAAACGTTTTCTTTCTTGCATATCAACTCTCAGTGCTCATTTTTACTACACAAGTTACAATAGCACATTTAATGGTTTATTAATTTCCTACATTTTTTTATTTAACATTGTCTTTTTTGGCCCCCAATACAATGATTTGAATGATTAAAAAGGAATTTATTTCAGACAATTTTGACAAACAATAAATCCACCAAATACAAAAAGAGACTGGTTAACACCAAACCAAACTAATTTCAAGCAAACTAAATTCACCTGTACATAAATAGAAACAAAACCCTCCACCAAATAAACCTGTCTGTATATACAGCCAGAGAACGGACATTGAATAATGGAAATTTTCTAAGAGGTACAAAGTAGTAAAACTTTTTTTCATACCTACTCTCACTAATTGCTCTTAAAGTAATGTTCCTCTTAACTTGTGTTCTTTATCCAATATTCACACACGCACACACAAAAAAATACATATATACACACAATTATATACATATACACATAAATATATAGATCACTACATATATGTAAATGTACACATGCATACCTACACAAACATCAGGCCAGAATCCACATTAACACCCTTGGACACAGAGCAACCTCAGTGGAGTATTAAGTTTACTATAGATCAAAAAAATAAAATTTGGTCATCAAGCTGTACATCTATGCCAAAAATATTAGGAAAATGGTAGATTATTTTTATAGATTTTTTTTTCCCAGAAAAAGATTATAAAGTTTATTAGCTTTAAATTATATAAATAAGATGATAATTAATGATTAGATATTGAAAATGTATACCTTTAATCATGGAAAAAAAATAATAATTCGTACATGTGTGAAATTACTCTTTCCTTTTCACTATAATGACCCTTATTCTCCACTTTAAGTAGCTGGCAGTTGCCTCTAGACATTTTCATAAATGTTTGCTCCATGATTATATTAGAATAGTTCTATCCCTCAGAATGTTAGGAATTTTTTCCCTCCACCACCAGGTTCTCGCTGGCCCTCTCACACACCTTTGGCATGTTGCCTCATTACCAGACGACTCTTATGCTACGTTCAGACCGGACGCCGCAAAAGCAGCAAAATCGCGTCTGCTGCTTCATTTTTGCTGCTTGTACCAGTGAGTTCTGACGCGTGGCTGAAGCAGCTTTGCTGCTCTGGCTGCTCGGTGCAAAAGTGTGTCTGACGCGCGTTGGGCGGAGCTACTCTATCCTTTCTCTGCCTTGCAGCTATATTTGCTGTGATCAGTGGGAATAAAGTTGTTTTAATGTGTTTTTAAGTGATAAAGTCCACCTGAAAACGTAATCAGTGCCGTCAGTTCATTCAGATTATCATCCTGCCTCCCAATGTTTTTTCTGTCAAAGCCGCTCAGACCCCCACATACCGGCGGTGCGCCGACAGAAGGAAGCCCTTCATCAGCAGCCTCTGGCCGGGTCGCCTCCTCGCGGTTTACCGCGGCGGCTGGTAGGTGTTTTTCTTCTAAATAATCCGATCTGCAGGCACCAGAATAATAAAAGCGAACATATTCTGCCGGCAGATGTATATATTTTAAGTTAATTATGCGTTAATAAACTGTTTAAGAGGAGTAATCAGAGCGGTCTGTGTCATCAGCGCTGTGTCTCTCTCCCAGCCAGCTCCCAGATCAGCTTCTCTGATTGGTTGACGCGGCGCGTCGAGCAGCAAAAATTCAATTTTTCCATCTCGAGCAGCAACGCGTTTGCGGCGCGTCACGCGCGTCAGATGCTTAAACGCGCCCGACGCGCTGCTTCAGCTGCTCAGACGCGCTGCGCCTGCTGCTCAAAACGCGCCGCGGGACCTTTTGCTGGGCCTTGACAGCCATTGACTTTGCATGTAAACTCGCTGCTTCTGTCGCGCCAGCTGCGTCCGGTGTGAACGCAGCATTAAGCTGCTGACTGCCACTACCTTGGCGCCAGAGTGTTTGCCAGTTTTGGGTACTCTAGCCAAGCTGAGTTTTGCTGAGTCAAACTGAGTTTTTGTCAACCTGGATCTTAACATTGTTGTTTTTGTCTTTGCCTTTCGGCAAGAAGTCATCCTACAAACTGGATGTTTTGGACCTTCTCCCCCTGGAAGGATCGTCTGAGCTTCACACTGTGCAGGGGATTTATCTCCACAAGAAAGCTTTCAAATACCATAGGAAATCTAAGTGGCAGTCAGCTCCTCCGTTCCTCAAGGAAACACCACAACCTGGGTAAACCTTGTCCGCCCTCCAATGAGCAAGTCAATTACTGGAACAACCCACACCGACTGGATTCAAAGAAAGACACCTTTTCTGGAAACGTGAGTCCGGTAGCCTTTATTCCCTTTTGCAAATTGAAGCTCAAATTTCCCACTGAGCCTGAACTAACCGCAGGATCTTCCCGTTCACTTTTCAGTCCTGTTTCGCCAGTGGTCAGAGCAGCACTGGACCCTTCTCTACCACTTCTTAATAAACCTGTTAAACCTTTCTCCAGTCTCTCTGTTTGGTTTTCTCCATGTGGGTCAGATCTTAGAGTAATCATGACACAGAATATTTTCCTTGAAATAACAGGTTTTAAAAATGTCAGAAACCATTGTTTTCCCAGTTTAAAATTTCTCAATGAAGTCATCTCCAAAGTCAATAATTTTCCTTAGGGCACTCAGGATCAGAATATCAACGTCATTGTTCATCTCAATTTCATGGCTGTAGTTCTTTATAGGAAAGATGCAGTTCACTGGAATTCCCACTGCTGAACTAAAGTCCTTCATCTGAAAGTAAAAGCAAGTAACAATTAGACTGGAAGATGTGTTACATATCTGAACTGAAAAGGATGATAAAAAAAACTCACTCTATTTTGCAGGTATTTGCTCCTGTACACGTTCTTCAGGTCTTTGTTAATTTCACCACAGGCAGAATCAATGTGGGTCATCAGGCCAATTTGGGGAATTCCTGTTGATATGCACAGTGTTAGAGGTAGGAAATATTCCCTTCTCAGACTTGTACACTGTCATTCAGATTTAGGGTAAACAGAAAATAAGAAAACATTCCAGCAGATGACAGTGGTGGAAAGTTATGAAAAAAAATTCCATTAAGTCTGATTAGATTCATTTGATGCATTTCTTCATTGATCTGAATAAAATCCTGTCTACATACTTACCCAGCTCACTGGCCTTTTCTCTGACCTGCTTCACCTTCTCCAGACTTGAATAATTAGATGTTAAATTGTTGGCTGACCAAACACAGGCCAGAACGTGCACTCTGTCACTAGCAGAGGGTGTGGAGTTGTAACCAAAATCATCTTCAGTCAGTTTTCCTTCTAAGTTGAACTATTTAAAAAAAAAAAAAAAAAAGACAGTTGAAATACTTAATTTCACACATTTTGCGCTACATCTAAAAAAATTTTCAGTTTATTGAACATATATTTGTAATGTTTACATTAAAAAAAATACAATAAAATTGTTAGGACTGAGTCTGTGATAGGACCAAAGTCATCGGCTAGACAGGTTGGGAGTGTTAAACACTGTAGATGAAAAAGACTCCAGTGCATAGATGCTAGTCAAAAATATTTTTTCGATTTTTCCCAAAATACTCAGTTCATTCATGAAATTACTAAGACGATCCACCAAAGAACTGGGGCATTTCAGAAATAAAAAGTCCAAAAGATCCAAAACTAAAAAAAAAAATGTTTGGTAACACCAAAAGTTCTCCTAAACATAAGTCGTCCAAAAGCATACAGCATTTAAGTCCCAGAATGCCAAAGTTAAGAACTAAAATAAGAATTCAGAGTGGCTCACCAGAGGCATGGACGCTAGACAAAGACTCAATACCTAATAAACAACAAAAAAGACCTTACACACACTTTCTAATTGCATAATTGTGTTGGGATCTGGAGGTCTGTCCACTTTCTCCACCAGAGGGCGTACAAGCTGATTGCAACCAGCTGTCGCTCATCTGCTCATCAGGAGATCCGTATTTAAGGAGGCAGAGGACTTCTCTCCAGTGCCAGAGTGTGTGCCAGTAACGGTTAGCAAACCTGAGCCAACCAGCCTGTCTGAACCTCTGACTCCCTGAAAGCCTGAAAAAACCTGAAACCCTGAAGAGTTTCTCTGTCAGTAATCTGCCTGTCTGTTCTCTGAAGAACCCTGGAGAATTATTGCTGTCTAAAGATCTGCCTGCCCGCTCTCAGAAGAAACTGGAAGGGAAACTCAAATCTGTTATATGCCAACGCTCAAACCAAGCTCTGCCTCCGTCAAGCCCTCAGCCTCGCGACAGCCTCTGGACCCTCAAGGTTCCCCCCCTCTGCCGCTCAGCTCAACTCCAGAACAGGTACAGCCCTGCACACTCTCAACCTGCAAATTACCTGGACCTCCACTAACACCTCTGTCCCCCTCTGCAGTGAACCCACTCGTGACCAGTCCTGGACCTGATAAACTCTGTGTGCTTTTCAGAACCCATTCGTGACCAGACAAATTCCCCTCTGGATCTGTTCATTCATTGTGCTTAAACTTTACAATAAATCTTTGAACTTTTCTCTTGCCTCTGAGTGTTCTGCATGTGGGTTAGGCACCTGAAGCCAAACATGTCAAATTGTCAACAGGTGGCAGAGGAGGGAAACAAACTCACAGCCAAAATAAAAGCAAAATAGTCCAACAGCGGTTCCTGGTGGCCAGAATAACAATAGCACCTAACAAAAACAAAATAGTGCTTCTCTTGTTCAGTGTATATGGATAAGCAACATCTCAGATATTGAGATATATGATATCTAATAATATATAGGAATTAAGGAAATCAACACCAGTAAATGAAAATGGGACCTATTTTATCTCTTAATAATCAAGGAGCAGGTGAGCAACCTAAAATCAACAGAGTTCCCTTGTCTGCAATGTCCAGTCCCCAGGCAATCACCATAGTAAAAAAAAGTTAATAATGTATTAGGCTATCATAATGTTGTTACAATTCTTACAGTGCTTGACTATATAAGAATATTTACTAGTGCTTTTTTATTTGGCCTGACTACACAGAGAAGGAAACAGAATCAATTACAAAACTTATGTGTTTCTGATTTTTCTTACCACTGACTGGGCAAATAAGACAGCAGGATTAACAAAGCCTGGCTGTTAGCCTGGTCTGGAGCAGGCTAGCTGCAAAGAATAAATCATCATGGTAACTCACGAGTTACTGCTTTTTTAAAACCAAGTCTAAGTTTAATTAGACCAGGATATTTGTAAAATCCTAACTTAATACCTTATCTTGGTTTTGTAAAATAGGCCTCAAGAGACCTACTGCTTTATTATTCAAAAGGAAGCTGCAAAATAGTCTTACTAGTACATACAACTGGATTCAGAGATGTTGCGATAGAATTTACCAAAGAAAATTACATACAATCTTAATAATGGGTGTGCATGTTGTTTGTTTACTATTAGCTCTAAATGATCGTTAATTTTATCTAAGGCACATAGATGAAAAGGAAAAGTTCTTATAGTTAATTGCTTCTTGCTAGCCTTATGGTTCTGCCGAAAGACAACAAGTACACTGCATTCTGCATGTCCTCACAGGGTTAACTACAACAACACACTTGCTCCTGGGTTAAGGCGGTCAGTGCTTGGGGCATTCCACCATTTGAAAAAGCTCACTTTCCACAAACTGGTGCTTTATAGTTTGGAAAATTAGACACACAGGATTAGTTTTTCGCCGGCTTGCTTCTGGTCTAACCGGTCAATGCTCAAATGGCCATGTATGTAATAAGCACTGACAAAGATGCAGCAATTAACTTCCCTGGCTCAAGCCATTAAAAGTAAAGGAGTAAACAGGACAATGGTGCCGTGTTCTTTCTCTTCTGATCAACCAGAACTTTAAAATTGTTGGTGATGCACCTCTTTCCTTCTTAAGAAACCATCTATTATCTTCCAAACATGGGAGTTAGTAAGCAGTCCAAACCTCCTTCAAAACTTAAAAAAAACTGTAGGTAGTAAATAGAGCCCAAATAGACAAACCTATCTTTTAAAATGTGTATCTAACCAGTATTGAATGTTTTTGTCTACAGAGATTTCAGTACTTTGGGAATTAAAGGAAGTCCTCTTCCAATTCTCAGTTTGACTTTTCCAAGTCAAACCCTGCTTCTTCCCTCTGCTTCCTGTTAGACATCTGTGGGGGGTGGCAAGATATATTTGATATGTGTTTTAATCGTATAACTGTCATGCAGGAGCAAAAGTATCCATTCTTAGTCACATTAGATTTTAAGTAATAAATTGACAGGTGCAATGTTTATCACCTGTAAGCGTAAGGACTTTATTGAACACCAAGCTTCCTCCCATTGAGTTATTTTTCAAAGGCTAATGTCTTTCAAGAATCAGTTTCCATGAACTAATAAAAAAAAAATTGAACCAACATCATCATATCTTTAATCCTGTAAACCTTTTAGTAATCCACCTGGCAATTTAAATTTTCTTTCAGCTTTATCAACTGTAGCTCAAAATGTCCTATACAGTATACTAACTAGTCCTAGTAGTGGGTCCTGATTTTACCTTGTAGCCCTCCCTCACATGTCATTCTAAAGCCAGCTTGATGTCATCAGGATGAATCCCACTGTTGTTCCCATCTTCTAGACCCCTGGTGTCATTGAAAACCACAGGGTAAAATGTCTTGAACTTCCCCGTCCTTTACTGAATTTATGAGTTGCATACTGAAATGCAAAGAAAAAAAAAACATGTTGATCCAGAGAACATAGTTCATTCACATTAAAGTCATGTTTCTGATTAATAGGTCAAAGTCTTACTGTACAGAGGAAACAGGAATAAAAACAGAGCAGAACTCCATTTGGTCATAAATCTCAACTATGTAATCTAAAGAGGTTCCACGTTCATTAATCACATTAGTTGCCAGGATTCAGTTTGTCCTGCAGTGAATCCATCATAAACCTTTGCATGCATCTCTATATTAGTTTACCTCATAAGTCAGTAGGCCAATGTTGACTGGTAGCTTTACCCATTTTTTTTTCTTTTTTTTTCTCAGCTATAAGCTTTGAAAAATCATAATTACTTGAAATATGTTCTAATATCTCACAATGAAAGTGACTGTGGGAAATGAATAAAATCTTTATATTATTTTTCTTACTTTTTTGGTGAAATATCTCAGGTCGCAGCTCAAACTGCAGGTTAAAGCAGGAGTCGTCATTCGGCCTCGAAGAACATTACTGACAGAGTTAATGACACTGGATTTTCCAGCTCCAACAGGTCCATACAAAAGAACACGCAGATACTTCATGTCTTCTCTGAAAGGTTGGTACTCCTGCACATAATCAAGGTCCTTCTGTCTCTGTCTGAGAACAGAAATAAAAAATAAATCATGAAGTAAATGGTAAATGGCATGTACTTATATAGCGCCTTTATTCAAGTTAGGAGACTTGACCAAAGCGCTTTACACTACATTCATTCACCCATTCATACACACACTCAGACACTGATGGTGGCAAGCTACACTGTAGCCACAGCTGCCCTGGGGCTCACTGACAGAAGCGAGGCTGCCGTACACTGGCGCCAACGGGCCCTCTGACCACCATCAGTAGACAATGCAGGTGAAGTGTCTTGCCCAAGGACACAACAACAATGAAAGTCGGAGTCGGGGCTTGAACCGTCAACCCTTCGATTACAGGGCAAACTCCTCCATCCAACGCCACTGTCGCCCCGGAAGTTTGTTCTGTTATAAAATAAACATAACATAAACAAAGTCTAACAAGATCTAAACCCACCATAAGCAGTGTGTGAATAAACCTGAGAATTTCAAATATAACCCCGTGTTCTCAAAAGTTATATCTTTGATACTTTTAAAAGAGCAGATGGGTGAGCCAAATGTATTATTCTATTCTATTCTATTCGTTGCTATCTAATGGTGAATTCATATCAAAATGCAGACTTCCTCTTTATCTGAGTGTTCATTTAGTGCTGGATCAGATTGCTAATTTTATTAAGGTTTGTGCTACTTTCTGTTTCGTTTTGAGAGTGTATCATTATGCTACAGTATGTTTTCTTTTACTAAAATCTTTATTTTCAGGTAAATGGTCTTTTATAGTGAAAACGGCACCATGGACTGTTCTCTGTAATCCTGCATACTCATTTAGTAAACTTGCATTTGTGTTTTTTAAAACTAATGCTCTCTTAATCTGCCTGTCAACTGTGTGTTTTCTTTTCTAGTTTTAAGGGTTAAATGTCTAGCCTTAGCAAAACCCTAAACTTAACTCTGGTATATAAATATGCTTCTGAAATGATGTTCTGATTCTAAAAGCAGAGTTTAAAACAAATAAAGCTTCAACTTGAACTTGGATTCATAATGACTGCTTTAATGATGTTGATAGACTCACAGCTTCAGATCAATAATATATAGCGTCCTACCTATAATTTATGTAATGAATGATTTTGCCTGGGTTATGCCCAACAGAATAAAGTCTGTTTGGTAGCATAATTAATCATTTAAATACGATTTTTTTTTTCCAGCTTCATAGCTGATTTGGTTCTGCTCCCTTTATCTCCTTTTTGGTTTGTTTTTCATCATTTCATTGTTTCTTTGTACAATTCTCAAATCCTCAAGAATCTTCTACAGTCTTTCTGAACATTTGATCTCTCCCCTGCAGCTTTTCTGTCTCAGCTCTTTATTTTGGTTTGTGGCAACTCATCAGTTACCGATTGAAGCAGAGTAAAAACAAGCAGTTGTAAACAGGCTGTTTAATGAGCAAATATAAAGGTTTTAAAGTAGACTTACTCCCAGCATAGTTCCCTCCATGGTTTATCCAGAACTACATGGAAACATATATAAATTTTATTTTAAAAAAAGAAAATCTGAAGGACATCCAAAAATAAAGGGTAATAACTTACGTGTAGAGGCTGACATTATTCACTTATCTAAAAAGATAGAGATGAAATATGTTCAGGGTTTAATTGAAATTATTCTCAAACATTTTGTTCAAACATAGCTTAAACAGACTGATGGAAGGTTAATTGTCACAACAAAAATTTTGTTTTTCTATTTAAACTTGTTCATTAAAGGAAAAAAAAACACTCAAAAGAGCCAGTTTGCTTTTTTTTTGGGTAGATATGTGCCATTTTAGCAAGTGCTGAATTAACAACAGAGATTTGAGTCTGTACTTACCAAGGTGATCGGGGCGGTGCAGCTCTACGAAATGTTTTACGCAGCAGAAGAGATTGTATAAAAAGATATTGATGTTGAACTATGATTGATTAAGCCTTCCGCAGCTTCTTAAAACCTTCTACTGCTTCGTCCGTGCTGCAAAATGAAACCAAAGCATCCTTCCCTCTGCTTATATACCCTCTATAAGCTTTAATCACATGTCTTCTGATAAATCAGCTGTACATTTTTTTTCTTTTTTCCTACCTTTCTTTCCTAATTTTTATTCCATTTTTTTTTGTAACAACGAAGTCCAAAGAGAGGAAAGGTTTATCAGAAATAATTCTGTGTGTTAATGTAATATAATTTGTAATATGCTAAATTAGTTCCATAGCATATCATACGTAACACTTGAATGAATTACACACTGAAGCAGTGTTCACACTGTTTGAGAAATGTAAATGTTATCATTTTATTTGTTTTAACTTACAGGCATTTGGCCTGCCAGGAATGTTGTGTTGTTTAACTTCAAACAGGGAGTTCAAATTGTTCTCCCAGAAAGGGAAATGTTGTGTCTTATCCAGCTGTTTGGTAGCACCACCGGCAACCCCCCCCCCCCCCCCCCCCCCCCCCCCCCCCCTTTTGTATGTTGTAAACTTCTGATCCCTCCTGGTACTTCTGTGAAGTCTGATAATAAAGGCAGGTGAAGGAGAGGTCCCAGTAGAGTGGCTCAGACATTCATGGAGTGTCATTTCTACGTCTGATTCCACTCTCCTCTGCTGTCGCTGCGCCCCTTGTCTCCGATTTATTTATTATGTATTTTTTTACGTTGTTTATGATCATTAACAAGATGTTTTCCTTGAACTGCTAGCTGCGGCCAATAGTTAATAATAACATGCTAAAATTAATCAAGTACATATCCAAGTCCGCCCACATGAAGTCGGCCATTTTGATTACGTCACCAATAGGAAGATCCCAGGCAAGAAAATCCTAATGGCTTCATGGCAATATAGACATTAATTAAAAAAAATAGTTAAATTAATCTTTCAAACACTTAATTAAACTCTATCCATAATATTATGTTAAAATAGTGTATGTTAAATAGGTTTGTACAATAAGTCCAAACAAGTTTAACCAAACAATATTTATTTCTCACAATTATGAAGGGTGGAGGGTTAGGGTTAGGTACAGGAATAGGGTTAGGGTCATTAATACGGGCCACCAGTCACAATAACATGAGTAACAGGTCAGTTTGAAATGAAAGACACTAACCTGTAAAAATTCAGTTAAATTTTGGGGTCTTTGTTTTTATCCTTGTGGTATCGAAAATGGTATCGAGTATTTTCCTTAGTATCGGTATCGAGTTGAACATTTTTGTGACAGGCGATAGCGCATGTGTGTGTGTCTCCACCCTCCCAGTCACTTCAGCAAAGCACTCTTCGCCCCCCTCGGGTCATGCACTCCTACGGCCTATGCTTGCAGCAAGCATACCAGACACAGCAGTACACTGAGGAGATCTTGATTTTCATAGTGAAATTAGGCTGTTGGAATCTATTCTTTCCCATGAGACATTGTATGCAATTTGCTAGTGTTATGGTTTTCATGAACATAACGTAAATTAATGCTACTTTTAACATATAATTATTAATTATAGTATATTTTTTCTTTCATCTTTTTTTCTATCTCTCTTTTCAGAGGAAGCATCCAGGCGTTCTTCTGAAAGACACGTTTAGTCCATCTGATACTCGGGAAGATGACCTGGCAGGCACTTCTACCCCAGCAGCTGCTCAACCCCACTTGAAGCAAGCTAGGATCACACCAGCGTTCAATGTGTCACAGGAACGTGTAAACAAGCTGGTATTAAATTTTGTGGTTGATGATGTGCAGTGCTTTTCAGTGGTGGAGCAGCCATCATTCCGCAAGCTGGTTCAAGGTCTCAGTGGTGGAATAAAAACAATGTGTCGAAAGACTTTAATGCAGCGGATTGATGAAGAGTTTTCCATAATGAAGCAATCTGTTATGTCTAAACTCATTGATGTGGAGAGTGTCTGCACCACAGCAGACATCTGGTCAGCCCAAAACTGTAGCTACTTTGGAGTTACATGTCAATGGATAGACAAACACACATTAGAGAGGTGTTCTGCTGCTTTGGCCTGCACCCGCCTTAAAGGTCGACACACATATGACGCAGTTGCATCTAAACTGAACGAAATCCATGCAGAATACAAAATTCAGACCAAAGTCCGATCCACTGTCACTGACAATGGCAGTAATTTTGTAAAGGCGTTTTATGGTGTTAGTGAGGAGGAAGATGATGGTGGTAATAGTGTGACATTTGTAGATGTTAGTACTCTTCTTCAACAAGAGGAAGATAAGCAGTTTTTTCTTCCAAAACACCAGTGCTGTGCAGCTCATACATTAAATTTAATAGCTACTAATGAGGTTAACAAGGCAGGTGGGAATGGGCCATCTAGCAAGTTGTATAGGTGTGCAACAGCAAAGTGTTCGTCTATCTGGAACAAAGCACATAGGTCTTCATTGGCTGGCGAGGCAATATAGGAGATTGCAAAAATGCAATTCATTGTCCCATCAATAACCAGATGGAGCTCAGAATTCAGGGCCATCTCAAAAGTTGTACAACTTTCAAAAGAACAGCTGAGGGCCATTTGTGATCAGCTTGATGCACCAATGTTCCACCCACAAGAGGCTGCATTCCTCAAAGAATACTCTGAGGCTCTCCAGCCTTTAGCATCAGCAACTGACATTCTCCAGGGTGAGAACAAATGTTTCTTAGGATTTGTTGTCCCTACTTTACTTTACTACTTTAAAATACCATTTACCCGAAAACAAAGATTTTAGTAGAAGAAGCCAGCATAATGATACACTCTCAAAACGAAACAGAAAGTAGCACAATATTTAATAAAATTGGCAATCTGATCCAGCTCTAAACAAATGTCTGCATTTCACTTAGATGAAGAAGTAGTCTGTATTTTAATATCAATTCACCATTAGATAGCAATAAAAATAATGTTACATCGCAACATCTCTGAATCCAGTTGTATGTACCTATTTTGTATGGACCATTTTGCAGCTTCATTTTGAATGAGTAGAGCTTGCCTGTTGTAGACCAGGCTAATAACCAGGCTTTGTTAATCCTGCGGTCTAATTTGCTCAGTCAGCGGTATAAAAAAATCAGAAACCAATGAGTTTTGTCACTGATTCTGTTTCCTTCTCTGTGTATTTTTTATTTTTTTTGTCAGTCCAGATTAAAAAATCCCTAATAAATATTGTTATATAGTAAAGCACTGTAATAATTGTAACAGCAATATGATAGCTAATCCATAAAAATTTTATAATATCTGACTGGCACTACATGACTGATGACGTCAGAAAACATCACGCCAACTGACATGGCACCCCTCACTAACCATAGAAACTTCAAGTAATCATAAAAAGCTTACTTTGGTATACATCTAATTTTAATTATATTATAACTGTGAATCAATGCCCAACTAAAAAAACTTTTCTGATTCAAATATAAATAAATCCATCTTTTTTACTCCTGTTATTAATTTACTGATTTGCCACGATTTACTGACTTCAGTTCAACAAAAAAACAAAAAGAAAAATCTTCAGTAAATAAGCAGTGACTTTGTTAATTGGGGAATTTTTTCTTTCTAGAACCTTTATGATGATTAAATCTAGGATATTTAATCTGGATGTAGCTGAAAAAATATCGGAGCAAAGATGCCCACCAAGTTAAGTTACAGACATAGAGACAACAAAGACCAGAAAGCTGATGAATATAAAAGATAACCTGAGAAGCTAACAGTCTTCTGACTGAGGCTGTTTGATTTTTATTTATAAATGCCTCATCACGCCCATTAATGGCCTGAATTACAGCAAACTGCAGTTTTTGCTAAACAATACCAGCTACTTTCACTTTATTTTACTTTCACTTTCAATATTACATGATGGAAAATAAAGAGATAAAAGCTTCAGGGTAATGTTGATTCATCTTTGTTCAGTCAGCCTATAGGTTCTCTTAACTCTCTGTGATAAAGTGGGTTCTTGTGATTCAAAAGCACAGAACACAATGCCTCAAATAATACAGAGAAAATACTCGAACAAAGTAATTTTAAAAAATGTACTGTTTACAAAAAGGATGATATTGTTGTAACTTCAAGGTATTAAATATTTAATGAAATATATTTCAGACTGTCCTGTGCTGCTTTGTAAACATACACCCAATGGGCTTAGAATAACAATTAAAAGCATAATTTAAGCTTCAGTCATTATCAAACAGTTAACTCTGTACACAAAGAATAAATTCACGAAAACCTACATTCAACAAATAAGAATTCATTAATTAAATCCTGAGGTTTTTGCAGAAGCAAATGTAGAAACACATAAAACACATCAATACAAAAGGTGAAAATAGCTGCTGTGAAACACTCTGAAATCATAAACTCCAGAAACCACATCAAGAGTCAAGCATAAGACAACTGTTCTGAGTCTGATGAGGACAGACATCCCTGTCTCTGGTCAGTCAAAACTCTTTTAGCTTCTTCTGCCAATCCGCATCGAACAGTTAGCTTCACAACCCACCGCTGCTCCATAGACCCCGAAAAGGCTTAGCCTCAATGGAATCTAAGCCATTTTTGCCTGTTATCCTTTCATGGCCCTTCTTTCTCACTGGTTGGTCCAATGCATGGGGGCTCAGGCTTTAACTGGGATTTCTCAGAGAGACTGACAGACAGCATCATGCCACTCCAGATTGGAGGGGTGATCACATCCAAGAGTGAGCAACATACTGGTGAAACCAGGTGCTATTAAAGAGAATTTTTGATGCAGTTTAATGACTACATTAATGAAGTTGGAGAATGAATATTTAACCACCAATTTGTAGGAAATTTACAGGGAAGGTTTCACCTTTAGTATTCAAGAAAAAAATGCCTCTGAACTATAAATATGTGTATAACTACATACATACAACTTGACTTTAACCTCTACATTACTATTTTGCTACCTACTTTAAACCTCTGTCCTACACATGACACTCTCACATGCTTCTCACATGTGTGTGGTTATATGCCTCCCTTGATTTTCAGCAAACAGGGGTCATTCTGGTAACCAAAAGTTATATTTTAAACCTTCATTGGTATCTTGCACCAAGCATGTATATAACTAGCCTGGGTGCCAGTCTGAACTTAGTCCCGCCCACAAGGTTTGAGTTCGGGGAAGTTCGGTCTGGCTCTGCTCCATAGTAGCGCGAGTATTAAAGCCCACTGTCAGGCGATCCAATCAAATTGTCAGGGCGGGCTTTATACGATGATGGACAGATGATCAAGAGTAACTTTATCAACCACGTGACCAAAGCGCGCTTGGGTGACAACAATAATGGCTGCCGCTGGAGAGTTTGGGTGAGTAGATTCTGCTATTAGGTCTGTTCTAGAAGATATCGACAGCAAATTAATTTTAAAAGAGGAACAGAGAAACGCGATCAAGTCTCATCTTCTTATTCTAGGCGTGAAACTGCACGCTTTGATTTTTGTGGACAACAACTATGCCTCGCTTAAGATACGTCACGCACTCCGTTGCTCTTATTGGTTGTAGGTCTATCCAATTGAGTACAGAGGCATTTTTTTCCTGGTTCGTTCAAAACACGCCCCATAATCACAGCTCTATGGAGCAGTATCAGACTCATATTCTGACTAGAATTGAGTCGGACTACGTCAGGCTAGTATATAACGACAGTGAAGGGGAAAACTCCCTTTGAACAGGAAGAAACCACCGGCAGAACCAGTCTCAGTATGAGCGGCCTTCTGCCAAGAACAATTTGGGTTCATGGAGACGGATCAGCTATACGGAAAGAAGCATAAAGTAACTATTAACTAGCTCCACAGGTGGAGCTAGTTAATAGTTTACATATCAGCACATCTGATATGTAATGCTATGGTCTTAATGTATTGTACATGTACAATATATAATAAACATCAATTATCAGGAAAGTCAGCTGTTGAAATCTTGATGGAAATGTAGGACAATGACGTAGATTTTGACTGGTATGGCTATCAAGATGACGTCGTAGGCAATATGGTCTGTTGTCAGCAGCAAACAGCTGCTAAGGCCAGACGCTAAACCCCTCCCCTGCTGAAGGCTAAGTAGCAACTGTGATTCAGAAGGAGCTGAACATAGTGTTTTTATTCGTCCTGCAATTCAAACCGAGTTGAATGCTGTCATCCCTGAAGCCTTCAGCAGCAGCAGAGACAGAGAAGAGCTAATCCAGCTCTGCTAACCTAAATCTAACTGCTAATCTAAACCGCCAAACAACGGGGCCCCTAATCGCTGTTGGCCAAGGAGCTGCCAGACCCATGACTGCCTTAGACAGAGGGTGAGAGCACCTGTTAATAAACAATTAGGATTACCCTTGATATGAATGACCTATGAATTATTTATAACTTCCAGTTCTAGTTATTTAATATATTCACAATCTTCCAGTAAACTTTCACTTGAGGTCTAACTAGATATTGGCACTAATTTGTTGTGTTTTTGTTTTTTGGAAGATAGCAAACCTGTTCAGCCTCCTCAGATGTATGAGAAATATGATAGAATGTATTGTTGGATGGTTAAAAGAGCAGCTGGTGTCCTATACCAACCAGTTGTTTAGATGTCTAGTGACAACTGGTTGGTATATGCAGTCATAAAGTCTTCTATGATTACAGCTGACTGCAATATGTTGTACAGACAAGTGAAAGTCACAAAATGAATTTACAGAGGAGAGCAGAGCTTTTGATGGTTGTAGTTTTGTGACAACCTCAGCATACGGCTGAGGCACTTTGAACTAAAGGTTTAACTGAAGGAAAAATTGCATTGTGTGGTCAGAGCATAAACATGAAAGGAGAAAACAGAAAGCACAGAAAGTGAAAGTTAAATGAAGAGATTTATCTGAAGTCACGTGATTTAGCTGAGCAGGGGATGTTACTTAACAGAGGAGACAATTGCTGCTCACTCATTTTGCAGCAGAGCAGCAACACCAGAATGGAGAATCAGAAATCGCTTTTCCATGCATTGTTCTACGGTGAGTGCATTTTATTTAAAATGAGGCTTTTAGATATTTACTGCAATTGATTCACAAAAGCAATTAAAATATTTAATAAGTATCTTATTTTATTCATATTTTATTGAAATGTCTCTGTTTCAGTCTCAAGTTTTTAAACCAGTAAATTCTGTTAAAAATATTTATCTATATTTATTAACAGCTTATTTAATCCACAATTACCGTCTTTGTCTTTTTCTGCTTAAGGTCTACCTATCAGAGACCCAGAAGATTCTGGTAAGATGGTGACTATAGATGTGTTATTAGCAGACATGTGAACCTCATTTAACCCTAATATTGTTGCATGATCAGCTGTCTGTTCTGGGTCAGTCTCAAATGGTGTAAGCTGGAGCAGTACAAGATAGTCTCTTGTGTGTTTGTGAATGCACAAATGCCATGAGAGTTCAGCTTGCAGACAAGGTTAGAAACTGATGTTAAGGCAAAGTAAAATTCAGAAACACTGAGTCAGTTTAGAGAAAATAGAAATCCTAAACTAAATTTATCATGGTATACCTTTACAATTATAGTTTTTAAACTCATGACTAACTTGAGTAAGGAAATCTTCAGGTACTAGTTCACTTACCATTCTCTGTTTTTCCTTTAATAAAGCTCAGGTGAAAGAGTCACCACGTAAGTGATTACATTTTGTTTCTGAAAATATTTTATTCATCTTTGGAAAATAGTAGTTTATGTTTCTGTTCAGTTCTAGATAAACCATGGAGGGAACTACATTGGAGGTGAGTTAACAGTAACACTATTAGGCTCATCATTAACTGCCAGTTCATTGCTGACAGTTTGTTTACAACCCTAGTGAAATGTAGAATTTGTGTGTCACAGCTTACTGGAGGAGAAAAACATAGAAAAAAGAAAAAACTCAAAGTAATTGAGGTTTTGTTGGGTTTAGTATGGGTACCTGGAAATTTGGTCCTAAAGGAATTTTGACACAACAGGAAATTAAGTACAGAAGCAGAGAGAGAAGGAAAAAATAGGGGCGAAATCATAAAATTGAATTAAATTAAAACGATTTTTTAAAACTCCAAATGCCTGATTAGTTTTTAACATAATCATAGTGGATCCTCATTAAGTGCAAAGAAATCGCAAAAAAAAAAAAAAATATTAAAAGGGGATTTAAACAATTTGCATATTTTTGTAATTTCTTAGACACTTTAAACTTTTTTTTGTGAAAGTATAGGAAAAAATTTTTTTATCTAACTTAGATTATGTTAGTTTTACTGATGGTCTTTGGCTCCAACATGGTTGGCTAGAATGCGTTTTCTTGTCTCTTTTGGGTTTTGACAGAACTAACAAATGAATGTGCTTGATGTTCTCAGTGAAAAACACCAGGATCTTCAATATATTCAAGAATACAAACCTGAAAAAGATGACATCAGGTACCTTCGAGTGCTTCTTTATGGACCCGTTGGCGCTGGGAAGTCCAGTTTCATCAACTCTGTCAGTAACGTCATTCGAGGTCGAATGACAATTCCTGCTTTGGCCAGTGCAACCACATCTGACAAAAGTTTCACCAAAAGGGTAAACAAAAAGCTAATAAATATGAATAAAAAGTTTGAGAAGTGTATGAAAGAACCAGAAATATACAGACGGGATCCTTTCAATAGTCTTTTGCCCACTGTTGTGCATTATCTTGGCGCTGATGACTGGCTTGATTGTTCATTCCACTCACCTGCCCAGTCGACCAGTTGGAATTTACCTCATCCTCTGGGCATGCACTGAACTTTAAGATTAGGTTAGTGACTCACATGTTCATGATCTTCCTATGCCAGATTGACAGGGTTACTAACCTGTGTTTACCTTTTTACAAAGGTTCCTGCCCTAGCTGCTCACTACAGATATGTTTTTTTTTTTTTATCAAAGTTTTTTAAAATAAAAGTTTTCTAAATATCATACTGTCTGTCCATCTGAATACTAATACTAGGTTCCCTGTTCTGAGCCTTGACAAAATAGTCTGACAGACAGTGGTGTTCAGACATAGAACAGTGTATAACTCACCTCGAATGAGGCATGCAGGAAATCCTGACACATTTGCGTAATCAGGCTACCCCTGCTCCCTGCTTCCGCCTACGACAGCTTATGCTTCTACGTGACCTGCTTTCAGATACGTCAGAGGTAGTCTATACTGTCTTGCTTCTAGCCAGCAAAACAAAGCTGTGGGGAACTTCTGAATGGCAGAACAACCCTTGCCTTTTCGCAAGAACTAATCTGAGTTTTCTGGCCTTTTCTTTTAATTAATTAGAGAAATGACTGTATCAGCAAAATGCATTTTCTCTTAACTTTTTCTCCTTTTTTAGTATGAAACTCATAAATTCAATAGAGGACGAGGAAGCTCGAAGACATTTTACCCTTTGGTCTTCAGCGACATCATGGGTCTGGAAGAAGGGGAAATACAAGGAGTTCATGCAAGTGACATTAAGCTGGCTTTGGAAGGACATGTAAAGGAAGGCCACAAGGTGCAGCAAATGCAACCACCAGTTCTGAAAAATATTCTGAAATTAATGAAAGAATGAAAGTAACCCACAATTTAAAGATAAGGATTGTATTTCTTTGAACTAATTCATGTTAAAGATGATGTCTTTTCTAGTTCAACCCAGTAGGTCCTCTATCTGAAGATGACCCAGGCTACAACCCGACACCCTCTGCTGATGACAGAGTTCATGTCTTGGTCTGCGTGATGTCTGCCAACGCTGCACAGATTAAAAAGTCAGTTCTAGAAAAAATGAAGAGTGTCAGAGAAACAGCCAGTGATCTGGGTGAGTTTAAGGATTTTTATTAACATGGCATACTAACAGAAGAAATCCAAATAAGTTGAACTGTCAGTGTCCATCCATATTTTCCGATTATTCCTTCAGGGTCACTGTGGGGCCGGTGCCTATTTCTGGCAATTTATGGGCGAAAGGCGGGGTACACCTGGACAGGTCACTAGTCCATCGCAGGCCAACACAGACAAAGACATATAACCATGCACACACATACACCTAAGGCCAATATGGAGAAGCCAATTAACCCAACAGTCATGTTTCTAGACTCCGGGAGTAAGCTGGAGTACCCAGAGAGAACCAACACAAGAACAGAGAGAACATGCTAACTAACTGTCAGTGTCTCTGGCACAAATCTATATCTGTATTTACTCTCACTCACTTTAACTTTTTCAAATGATAAAACCACAAGTGTTTGGCTAACAATTGTTTACTTTTTTACCTGCAGGAAATCCTCAAATGGCCATAATGACACGCATTGATGAAGCCTGCGAAGAAACTGAAAAAAACTTGAGAAATGTGTACAAAAGCAAGCACCTAAAGAAAAAGGTGAGATTCAGTCAATTTGTCCAGAGACATCATACCTATTCCAGATTGTAACTGTGACTTTTTATTTTTTTTATTTTTAAGATGAAAGATTTCAGTGCAGCAGTGGGAATCCCAATGAACTGTATCTTTCCTGTGAAGAACTACAGTGCCGAAATCAACATGAACGATGATATTGATACTTTGATTCTGAGTGCCCTGAGGAAAATGATCGACTTTGGAGATGACTTCATTGAAAAGAATTAAAATGGGCTTCAGAAGACACATTGTGTCTGCTTTACTCTTGCTACTATTTTTCAGAAGAAGCTGCAGCTAGCTAGCTTCCTTATGTTTCTGAGTACCGGTAGTCGTCATATTCTGCACTTCCAGTTAGCTGGGTGCCTATGTACAGAAAAATTTACTCCATTTTTATTCCATTTTATTTATTTATTTGGAGAGAAATTGCTGTTTCATAAAGTTTTCTTTCTGCTTAGCCAGGTAGCAGCAGGTATGGTTGGAGGTGCAGCAGCCAGAACACGACAAGAGGCTACTGTATATATATTATATACAGTAGCCTCTCTATTATATACAGTTAATTATATGTATAATTCTCTTCTTGTTAATATTAGCTAATCTTGCGAAATTCTGTGTTTTATTGAGGATTGCATTCTCTTTATTAACCTCTGTATATCCACATTTTAATGCATCATCATTCCCTTCCTCAAGTCATCCCATTGGAAATGGAAGATTACATACGGGCAGTGGAAATGCTCCACCTGTCCGATCACCTAGATCGAGAATAGAAGGAAGAGCTGAGGGAACCATTGTTGTTCCTTTTTACCTTAGATAAGGATTATGAGGGATTTTGCCAAGAAATTATGGATGTTAAGCAAATACAGATCTATTCTGTCTTTGAACTTGAACCCCTACAAATATTCTGTCATGGTCTGTCTTTTGTTCCCTCTGTGTATGGGAGAATTATCCTGCCATAATGCAAGAGCACATAATTTTAATTTGAAAAAAAGAATTTCATCTTCTTGCACTCAAAGCTTATAATGCTCACACTCAAAAGATGCGCTCTCTCTCAAATACTTTCTCTCCTCTTTCAAATTTAATGTTTCTTGCACAGATATTTTCTCCTCTCACTTGCCTCCTTCTCTTCGCGCACAAACCGCGCTCTGCTTGAGTCTCAGATACGCTTGCAAACCCGTAGGCTCTGCTTGTGGATTTTTTTTGCTCTCTCAGATTGGAGTTGGATCGTCGCCTAGCAACCTTTCCAGCCAATAGAACGACAGCCTCAGAAAGGGTGCGCTTGTCTAACTCTACTGAGTGTGCCTGTGATAAACCTTACCGACAATAAAATGGCTTTTTTGTTTATATATATATATATATATATATATATATATATATATTTATTGTGATGTCATCATTTAAGAACATGTATTAAAATGTATTCTTTATGTTTTTTTGGATTGTGATGTTATTGCTTAATAAACTGCATTAAAACTTTTATGTCACATTTAGTTGATGGAACGGAGTTGTTTATCTGCCAATAAGTGGCCTCGGCCGGCAGCGGGCACCAACGGCCACTCCGATGGCAGGCTCTGCCGGCAGCAGCGTTTGTGCGCGAAGAGGAGGAGGCAAGTGGGAGGAGAAAATATCTGTGCAAGAAGCATTAAATCTGAGATAAGTTTTGAGTGCAAGAAGATTAAATTCTTTTCTCAAATTGAAATTATGTGCTCTTGCATTATGGCAGGATAATTCTCCCATATCTGTGCTCCAGTTTTATTTTGTAGTCCAGTGTCTTGTATTTGTGTGTCGCATGTCTTTATTGTAGCCTTGTCTCTGTGGCTGGTGTTCCCGTGTTATGCCTGATATCTCTGGATTTAGTTTGCCAGTAAAAATAAAAACTATTGTTTAGTGTTTGCATTTGGGTACTTTTCTCTTCAATTCCTGACATATACATGGTTCATAAGATATACAAAATTTCTCTGGTACAACAACATACAGTATGTTTATACAGATAAATGTATGTAGGTGCGTAAGCATGTCACTAAATCACCTCCCTACATCATTTGCCGCAAATATCTTTTTAAAGACGTTTGCAAGCAAGGGCGTAGGTTTGATTTGAACTTTGGTAGGGACACTATTGGTCTGGTGTCATTGGTGCTATGCAATATGCATGCCCTTTTTTATGCTCGATGTGAGCATCCGTACTGATAAGAGGAATTCATTGTTAAAAGAGAAAAGCAACATTTTGCTCCATTAATAAAAATGTTATAAGGTCTACACTCATTAGATGCTGTTTATCAGTGTTTGAAGTATCACCGGCTCTGATCAATGTGGAATTAGGACTGTTTTCCACTTTGAAAACGGTTTCATTTGAACGACTAAGAGAGAAGGTAAATACAGTATTTTCTTTTGAAGATATAGAATTGTGCAGAGTTAAACCCCACTCTAATATTTGTACCTACTATTCTCTCTCTGTATCAAGCAAAATAATACATTCATTAAAATATTAACTTCACTATAAAAGTTGAACATCTGGGCTGTACTGTAGTTACTCTGTGTAGCCAATTTCATGTATTTCATCTGGGGCTGAAAAAATGAATCATATTGATTATTTCAATAATCGTCAACTAATTTAGTAAGTGATTTATCATTAACTGGAGAATAGAGACTTTAAAACATACAGTAATATAAATGTAAAATGCGCCTTTGCCCACAGAGCAACCCACTTAGATCAGTTATTATATCAAAATGGTAAAAATAAAAACAAAAAAATGAAAACAGTAATATCAACTAAATATCAGTAAAAAGGAAACCCTCACATTTTCTTTTTTAGTTGGCTGTGGCTAAGAATCAGAAATGTTGATGGCTTACAGCCTTTATTTGCCCATTTTTCCAGCAGTCTTCAGAACTCCTGGCTGACTCAGAATATTTTGTTTTATAAAAGAAAAAAAAAAGGTTTTTGTTTTTTAGTGTACATGATATTCATTTTTTTTTATTGGGACTAGTTTTGTAGCCTAATATCAATTGTAGTAACCGCGGCATTCTAGTGTGAATAAATTTTCAATTTTGTGCTCCAAGCACACACGGACTAGAAAACAGCCAATCAGAGAGAGAGAAGGCGGAACTTAAGGCATAACAACCAATGAGAGTTGAGTTAAACAGCGCAGCACAGTTCCATGCGCTGCTACATGAAAGGGACAGGAGAGACCAAGCAGAGGAGAGGAAAAGAAGCCACTGCTGCAACAACTACTGCTGTAAATTATAAACATGTTGCTCACATCCAATTATTGATCGGGACAATTAGGTCGGTTCAAAATTTTGGTAGGGACATGTCCCTATAGTCCCTATAAAAACCTACGCCCATGTTTGCAAGGATATTGGAGCTTTATTCTTAAGTTTCTTTTTTGTTTATTTTATAATCCCATTTTATATAACATTCAGCAGTCTAATGGCAGTGGGGTAGAAACTGTTCTGGAGTCTGCTGGAACTGCATCGGATGTTTCGAAGTCTCTTTCCAGAAGGCAGCAGGTAGAACAGTCCATGTTGGGGTGTGAGGGGTCATTTATAATGTTAAGGGCTGGGGGCAGGCAGCACTGGGATGAAATGTCTTTAATGGAGGGAAGCGGCCCGATGATCCTCTCTGCTGCTCTTGCCACTCTTCTCACCTTTTCCCAGCCTCACACTGGAAGAAGTTTTCATGTCTTAACCGAGGTCATTGGGCGAGTGTGGCAGTGCCCTAGTGCCCTCTTTTGGCCAGTTGCCACTACTTTTAGCCTAAAAGATTTTTACATAAAAGATGTAATCATACTCAAAGCAGTAACATGCAAGTCCTAACTTTTTTTTTTCTCCAGCTTTTATTGTCATTACGCTGTCATAAGCACAGGGCAACAAAATGAGCTCTCTGTATTTAACCCATCCCCCTTGGGGAGCAGTGTGCTGCCATTGTCCAGTGCCTGAGTGTCTTTTACTCAGGGTCCCTGAGTGGCAGTCACAACCACTTGTCCACCACTTCCTCAGGTAACCTAAGTATTAGCTTAATTTGAGATACTTAAATTAAGTTTTAGGCTGATATATACTACCAGGTGCACTGCATGAAAAGTGAGATTTTCGTCCCCGTAAACCCCCGTAAACTCCCGCAGATCTGCCTGATTTTCGTCAGTTTCCGACAATTTGCAACCCGTGCTTGTCCGCGTTTGTCGTGCCACAAATTGTCGAAAACGTACCGTGACGTATGTGGAGAGCGATCAGCTGTACTAATGGCCCTAATTAGCATATGAATGCAGCAAACCCGCGCGGCTGGCCAGGTCTGGCTTGAATAACCTTCTCAGTATTGGCTGAAACCACTATTCTCAAACAAATGAAATCGCTCGTGATTGGCAGCAAAACCACACGTGGCCACGCCAGGCTTTAATTTTCTTACTGAGTATTGGACGAAACCACTTCTTTTTAAACAAGTAAAGTCGCTCGTGATTGGTTGGCAAATATATATATATTCATATATTTATTCATTCATATATTTATTCATTCATATTTTTTATTCATTCATATATTTATTCATTCATATTTTTATTCATTCATATATTTATTCATTCATATGGTGTGTATTTATGTTATCCTACACTACTACACAATTATTAGGCTACCATCAAGGACATGAATGAATTTATACAGGAAATGAAGATTTGCCAGGAAGCTGTTTATGCAAAGAAAGAGCTTTATTAAAACACACACAACTATATACAACGCGTATCCAAACACATGCGTATCTAAAAATTACAACTCCATGAACGGTCCGTTTGCTTCCTCGGGGTTGGAGGTAACTGGCAGCATTCCCTCCGAGGCAGGTCCGATGTGCAGACGCCTACTGTGCGTGGCCCTGTACTTCGGCATCGCTTCTAACCGGGACTGCAGCTTAACACAGAGTTCAGTGAGATCCGGCCTACGAAATGGCGGCGACCGTACAATCCATCCAGAGACACCGCCGACGACGCCATCTTCTTCGTCGGACATGAGGTCGACGGTGGCGGACTTACAGAGTTCCACTTCCTCATCTGCTAGCACACTCTGCCTCGCCTTCAGCAGCTGAAAAAAAAAACAATGAATCAGCGCACTGCATATGGACACAACACATCTATCAATGCACCTGAAAAATAGTCACCAAATAAAGTCTTACCCTCTTTCTGCTGGCCCGACTCCGAGCAGATAGCCTGGCAGCCTCCGCAGGCAGCGTGCTGGCTAGCAGCGTGTATCTGAAGCTCCTGCATACCGTCTCATAATACCTCTTACAGGCAGCTGGAAAACAATTAAATGAGAGTGGTATGAATAAAAAAAAAATCAAACGCAAGTCACAGTAACAAGGAAGGAGAAAACATTAAAACAAGTCACTTACACACAATGTCGTCTTTATCAACATCGTGCAAATCCGAGCAAATAGGAGGTCACCGCCTCATTGTGAGGCGACTGTAGTCTGTGAAAAAAAAAAGTACAGCTATGGTCGGTATTTATCCGTATCCATGTCCTTTTACCGCAGAATGAAAGCATATTCTTTAAACCATACCCCTGCTCCGGTTCATAGCGCCTGCAATTAGTCTCTGAGTTGTAAAGACGGCATATTGCTTCCTGTGAATCACAAAAAATACACTTTAATAAAGCTTTAGGCTAGGCTGCTTTTAGCTTACCTAGCTAGGCTAGGTTGTATTTAGCTTGCCTAGCTAAGCTAGGCTGCTTTTAGCATAGCTACCAGTAATCGAACATATATTTACCGCTAGCGTGGCATTGTGCACCCGTCTTCTCTTCCTCGAGTTCGTATATCCCGCAAAGTTGCTCGACTGGGTGGCCAGATGTCCGGCTTTAGGGCGGACAGTCCGGATTTTCATTGCACTGTCCGGCGTCCGGCGCTGCACCCAGCCGGACGTGTATTTGTCCTCCTTTACCCCCAGATTCCACATACTCCGTCAGCGCTCCGCCCCGCTCGCGTACGGAGTACTTGGCTCTGTTCGAAAACCTAGG